AGAGAGGCTCCTTGTTTTTTGGCTCTGTGTTTTAAAAGGAGCTGAGGCGTAGCTGAGCGCAAGTCTTAAGAAAAAGTGATAAAATATACAGTGAGAAGAGCTTTCAAAGTGTCGGGAAATTAAAGCGGAGTGCGGCAGCAGGGCGGGGGAAGCAGGGTGGAGGGGGTGGGGGCGGGTGGAGGCGGGTGGAGGCGGGTGGAGGGGGGGTCTGGGCTGATCGGGTGGTGACTGCAATCTGCTAAAATGACTCCAGAATTGTCCTCAGACTTCGTTCAGTTGCCTTTAGCTACGATCACATGGCCCGTGCTTTCATGTGTGCCGTAAATAGCAATTCTAGAAGTGAAGGTGGAATGGGAAATTAATGTTGCACAAAAGTCCCCAGTGTGCACAAGACGATATTATTTTATTTTATTTTTTCAATTATTCATTTACTATATTTCACGCAATGGCACAGGTGAGTAAACAAGGTAATTAAATGCAGTTAAATAATAAAAATCATATAATGCATAACAGACAAAACACAATATAAACAATAAATGTACGGTATAAACATGGCCGTATAATTCTGCCTGAAAAGGGTAAAACAAGAAGCAAGATTTGTTCTAAGAAACTATTTGGATTAAGTAAATGTGATTAATTCAGGCTGTAGACTGGTACAGAAAGTTTACCATTAAGTCGTTTTGAATCGAGAAACCTTTTACAGAGGCACCAAGACATCTGCGCAGACTGACGGGAGCTTTGAGGGCGGGGTCCCCCAGGGTTCAAGGATCGGCCCGCTCTCGGTTCTATCTAGCTCAGTCTGCATATAGCACTTTATTATCCTACTGGGTTGTTTTTGTCACAAATATATTCTTGATTACATAGTGTTTGTACTGGAGATACAGTCTTTTAATACTGTTAAAAAACATTTTTATGGATTTAGTCCAAACTTATGTTGTGTATTGACTCCACACAGGGATGGAAAGTTGTTTATCTGCATAACAGTCCCAGACACTTAACCATAACTGTTTACCTTTATATGTAACTACGATATAGATAGATAGATAGATTGTAAACTCCGCTCAATCATCATTTCACTGCATGTAACGCCTGAGTCTGGTCCCTGTGTTAGAGATTACATCAGTTGAATTCCATCCGACCAATCAGCGAGCGCGGGAGGCGGGTGTTGTAGTTAGATGTGGGTGACGTCAAGAGTTTGCATTGAACCGTCAGGTTGTAGTTTGGCGAAGAATGCGAAGCCGGAGCAAGAGGAATGTTTAACAAAAGTCATCGCTGCAAAGATTGTGGCTCTACTCCCCACGGGCTCCATTAGCAGCAAAGTAGATGGCTAAAGCTAGGCTAAATGCTAACGACTCACTCGGTCACATACGTCTATAAAAGGAGTTAGCCCCTCCCACCTGGTAACGGAGTCAATGGAGCACCTCCAGACCTTAGTACGAAATGTAATTTGTACCATGTTGTGGTAAGACCAGGCTAGTCCAATACATGAGAAAGAGTAATATTATAGACGGTTAAGTGCTGCTAAGCTAAAGGGACAAAACTGTGCTAACTGCTCGGGCCATGTGTCTTATGTTCTTATGTGAGAATATTAACCAGAACACTCAGAGCACTCAGAGATGTACAGGATTTTGGAAAACATTGGACTCATTGATTTCTCCCGAATTCCAGAAAAGATTCCGCTCTTGTTGACTTTGCTTCCTCTTGGTCTAATCCTTAAGAAACACAACAAACAATACCATGATAATGCAGACGGTACACAAACATATCCACTCATGTCTTTAGGTGAGTCCGAGTGCAGCTCTTGGATCAAATCCTTATAAACCCGAGAGCCGAGAGAGAAAGGGAAACATTGGTCCATGTTTGGTCTCAGGTTTGGTCTCAGGTTTGGTCTCAGGTTTGGTCTCAGGTTTGGTCTCAGGTTTGGTCTCAGGTTTGGTCTCAGGTTTGGTCTCAGGTTTGGTCTCAGGTTTGGTCTCAGGTTTGGTCTCAGGTTTGGTCTCAGGTTTGGTCTCAGGTTTGGTCTCAGGTTTGGTCTCAGGTTTGGAGCTCACTGACTCTAAGAGGCCTCGGAGAAAACATCATGTGGGTACGATATTTATTCACTTCAAAAACATCTGCAATATTTGGGGGTTCCTCTCATACAACACTATATACCTACAATCATATATACAGTACATATAACTACTTATACACATCAGTACTTATACACATCAGTACTTATACACATCAGTACTTATACACATCAGTACTTATACACATCAGTACTTATACATTTGTCACACATAGATCACACGCCCTCTTCCTCTTTAGTCTGTGTTGTCGGCTTGTGTCGAGGTGTAACGACTGTTATCCTGTGTCGCTGGAGAACGAGGGGAACGGGTCCTGTACCTTTATGACGCGCTGCTAATGTGGATGAATAACGCTACTCGTAACTGCGTTTCTAAGTGGCATTTAATCATCAGCTTTGAAGATTTAACACATCACACATTGGCCATACGTGTACGTGTACAAAACTTAACAAAAACAAACGTCAACAAAGAAATACGGCTACCCAGATCCCTACGACTTCTCACCTGAACACCGGTGTCTGCCATATTTAAAGGTCCCGGCATATCCCCAGAGCTCACGTGACTCACGCACCTCCCCTGACGTTACCATAGCAACCCAACACATTATGGCTCTCACACGAGGTAAAAGAAAAACTAAAATAACCTCACGTTGCTCTGGGGCCTCTGCTTTGCGTGATTAAAACTCCAATTTACTTTTTTATTTTTGATGCTTTTATTTACAATCACAAAGATCCATTAACATAGATATGTCAGATCCTGTTGTGTCTGGAACCCGTGTGCAGGACCCACTGTTCTCCTTATGCTCCTTGTAAATGGAATATTCTTTTTACAAGATATTTCCATGTTTATAATGGGTTTTTAAATGTTTATTTTGATGTTAAGTTATTGTTTGAATTGTGCTTCACCTAAACTATTATTACTATGATCGTTATTATTTTGATATTGTAATTATTATTATTATTATCTATATAATGTCTACAGTCGGCACGGTGGCTGAGTGGATAGCACTCTCGCCTCTCAGCAAGAAGGTCCTGGGTTCGAATCCCGGTTGGACCAGGGCCTTTCTGAGTGGAGTTTGCATGTTCTCCCCGTGTCTGCGTAGGTTTCCTCCGGGTGCTCCGGTTTCCCCTACCACTAAAAATATGTACAATAGTTCTGGCATGTGCCTCCTGTACTGGCACCCCCACCCAACAATTGTAAACCGCTTTGAGACTCCGATGTGCAGTGAAAAGGCGGTATATAAATAAAAAGCTAGCTAGCTAGCTACAGTCATGAAGAATAGCTGAGGTTTGGATCAAAACCAGTGCATGTGTTTATTTGTGAATAATAACACGAGGATGTGGTTTCTTTGCAATAAACAAATCATAATAACACTTAAAAAACAGAACCAAAGAAAACCTAGTCATGTTTTTTTGTTTTTCAGAGTGAGAGGATTCCTGGACTTTCTCCGTAAAAGTCTGGTGTAAGAGCGTGGATAAAGCAGGCTGCAGGAGGGGGGGGTGTGGTGCTGTGACCGAGCCGCCCTGACAGAGAGGTGGCTCGGAGCCCAGGCAGAGACAGCGCTGGGGCCTCTCTCTCCGGGATGGGCCCGTTTGGAGCAGGAGTCAGGAGCAGCGGCGCAGAGATCAGAATCCTGTGGTGCCAACTCTCCTCCCTGTGAAAAACAAACACATGAACGTGGCGACGAGAACCACTATCAGGATCAAGGTACCAGCGCTCACAGCTCACAGGGTGATACAGCCCTGTCAGGATACGTGTTTGTCACCATCAAAACATCAAACACACCATTTCTTTGCCCAAAATCTCTGTATTTCCCAAATAACTATTTTTCACAAGACACAAGTTATTTACGAACTAGAAAAATGAATGTTTTCCTCACCTAAAAATCTTAATTTAATCTTTATTGTCCTCGCCTCAATCCAACCAACAACTGTGAGATTTCCCCAAAGAGCTTTTATCTAAACTTGTTCAAGCATCCTCCTTTTGACGCCTCTGAAGCAGCTCGTTCTTTATGCCTCTGGCCTTTCTGCTTCTGCAGCACCAGCAGCAGACACACAGACCAGGGCACACCACGCCTAATTAATGGAGGTAATCTTGCCTATTTCGAGCGTCCTACATGTCTTTTACTGAAGGGATTAGCCCACTGCATTAAGATGTATTTAACCTCCAGCACTAGCTCTGTTTCAATAAGTATTAAAGGACCATTACATGGAGAGGGCTCAATTAAAGTGCACAAAGGCTGATGTCTGAAAGAGAGAGGGAGGGCCCAGGGCCCGGTGGGTCAGGGGCCTGTGTTCTGCATCTGCTCAAAACGCTTTCAACTGGACTGGATTCAAACCCAGAGGCTTTCAGAAGTTTAAACTTGTACAAAGAAGAAAGTATGGTTTCTTAATATTTCACTTGTTTATGTTGTAATGGTGGTTCCTGTTTGCTCGGGTGGAGAAGTGTTGCTGTATTAAAAAAGATGTATGGATTCTTCCCACACTGGAAAGCCAAGCCAGAAATCTCATAAATTCTATTTTCTAAGTTGTTGATTTTACAAAACAATCAGCCGCTACCAGGAGTCTGGTGCCAGAGCTCCCGCTGAACAATGATGCTATTGTTCACTTGGAGAGAAACTGGCGTGGGCTGCTGCATTTATCAATTTTCCGTTTCTCTTGTCGCCCACTCCTTGTTTGTCAGTGCATGGCCAAGGCCCGTTTTGGGCCCAGCAGGTTGTCCTGCGCCCGGCAGCACCTAAAATAAGTCAGCAGTGGCTTCTTTGCAGCTTTTCCTCTGTGGATGTTCTTTCAGAGGATAAAAACCTGCTTCCAATGTTCCAAAACTGACAGAAACTCTGAGCCTATCACCTTCTTCTGAATATTATAAGTTGACAGCTTCGTTATGCACTTAAGTGTTAATTAGTTTTCATCTTTCGCTCTCTCCGTCTCTCCTTCAGAGCCTCAGAATGATGGGGCATTAGGCGTCTCCCGCTGCAGGATGTAGCGAGCAGATATCTCAGTTTGTCTTCATTGGGAGGATTAGTCTGCGACTGCATGAGAAGTGTGTTTGTGTCGAACAGATGCGCTCGGCTTCAGGGGAACAGATTGAAGCTGCTCCAAACTACAGCAAACCTTCAGTCCTGATGAACAGAGAGAGAGCTGTGGCGGGCGCCTGCAGCATGCGTCAGGCCGAGCCACACTCAGCCACAAACAGCAGTGAGATTACCGTTGTCACGCTTGGGTACGCTTCGGCTGGAACAGATCACTCAAGTCACATTACATGTATTTTGTTTGGTCTGGTTGGTTGGAGCTCGTTAACAGTGGACGCTTTGAGGAGAGAATGGTTGTAAACAATACTATCCTTTTAAGACGACGCTCCAGGAGAAGAATGTGCGGTTTATGAAAACGACAATAACAAACGTCACAATAAAAAATAAAACAAAGTGCTTCTTGTTTTTTGGTTTTCTTTTTGTTTATCCGTTTAGAAAAATAACACACGTCAAAAATGTATTTTTAGTTTTAGCATCTTTTTAGACTCAGAGATTTAAGGCCTGTATTTGAACGACACAATTCCAAGACAAACATTTCAAAGTCTGTCTCTGGGAAATAAATAATGTCATAATAACAATAAATAAATACATGTAATTGTTTTCATAAGTCACAAATTAAAAAAGAAAACAATGTGGATAAAATCAAAATTACAGAATTGAGGTCGGAATAATGTGTGCGTTTATTCTTCGGGCATCGTTCCACAAATCCCACACACTCTGGTGAGTTCTGTCATTGAATTTCATTTTTAAACTAATCCAATTTGGTGGAACTGACAAAACTTGTATTCAGTTTAACTCATGCGCTACACTGATTTAAAAACAGAACAAAAACACCCTAAATTAGAAATGGGTCCAAAATGGTAACATGACCCAGGGCTTGTCAAGTTTTCAAAAGTCGTCAAAATTATCTTAAAAAAATGATTTAGTGCATTTTGTAACGACTGTGGTTGATACGTTTGACTGAAGGAAAAGGGTTAACTGTGAGAAAAACTTTTACATTTGTACAGTTAAAATGGGGCAATGCAATCCAAATTCCGTTTTTTTGGCCAGCCCTTGATTCTACAGATCTCACAGACTTTATCTAACACCAGCTGCTGCCATTTCCTCCCATCGGTCGTGTGTAGTTTGACTTAAAGGATGTTTAAGTGTGTGCTGTGGGACTGGGTGAAGGGGAAAGGATTGGATTGGACGCTGGGGCAGGAGCAGGAGACAGAAGCAAAGGGTGAAGTGCACCTTGTGAGACGCAGCATGAGCCCCATCACAGCTCCCTCCCACATGCACTTCACTGTTTCTCTCCTCGGCCACAACTGCCATTAAATCATATGATCATGAAAAGTGTAAGAAAAACAAGTGACCTGCTCCGCACAGTGCCAAACACAAGTGAGAGGTCTCCACGACGCGTCTGCGAAGGTGCGATGCATAATACTCACAGTTAGACGAGTGGTAAAACATTCACCGAGCAAACGTAAAGGCTCTGCAGTTATGTCACGGCTTTCACATGTATTCACAGGGATTTACTACATTAAATACATTACATAAAAAATACATTATTTTGTCATTTTGTGGAAATATATATAAAACAAATACATAGGTACATAATTGGTACCACATTTGTTCTGGCCTTTACTCAACAGGACTTTTGGGAGTTGTTGAACTCTGAAGAAGTGATTTGTAGTGTGTCACTGAACAAAGTGTAACAAAGTTAAAAAGGCCTAAGCCAAGAGCGGAGGCCTCAGCTGTGAGAGCCCAGAGCCAACAGTGAAGGCCTTTGCTGGGGTGACAGAGCAGGAGCCAGTGCATGTTAGCTAGCTCGAGCGTTTGGTAAAGTGCAGACAGCTTGGGAGGTGCTAATGAATGCCGGGCACTGCTAACCGTACTGTACCCAGGCTCCGGGCGCAGCCTGGCAGCCTCCTGTCCCTCCTGCCCGTGTGAAATGTGAAAGATCAACCGGTTGGAGGAGCAGAAGGGAGCACAACACACACACACACACATGCGTGTACACTTGTTCAGGGGCGTGCACGAGCGAGTGCGCAGTTCAAACACACACATTAGCACACAGTGCTTAGGCACAGGCTGCCCCGCACAGAGCCTGGGCAGAACAGAAAGGCCTGGCGCGCACTAGTGTCACATCACGAGGGCTCCAGCCAGGCCAAGCCATGAGCCTGAGTGCGATGATTCAGAACTCCCCGCTGAGCCTCTCTCCATGGGCAGGTGCAGCTCACACAGTGACAGCAGAGTGACAGCACTCCAACGCACCATCAGAGACTGGGCCAAGACTCAGCCAGGCACACGGGACACTCAGAGTCTGGACGCCTGCTCTGATCTTTTCTCTCCAACTCAGGGATAAATACCAACATTCAGCCTTGTTAATCTGATGTAAAGTGATGTAATGCTACTGTATTTGTGAGTTCTGTAAGGATCAATGGCTCTGTATCCTGCAGTCTTCACATACTCACACTCTGGTGTCAGTGGGTAAAAGTTTATTCTCACAGACCTGATGCTGGCTTTAATCAGCTGCTATAATGAGGCCTGGTTATCTGTGATAAGTGGTACGAGCTTCCCTCCTGCAGCGACTGCGCTCCTGGGGCTGTGAACTCTCATCACCATTCACCCGATAATTTAGACTTCAGCGGCTCTCACTTCAACTCCCAGTGTAGGATATGTTCTCCCTTCTCCTGACAACCTGACAGAAAATCTCAAGAATACCCAGCTGCATGTGGTGAATCACAGACTATTTACCATTATGGCTTATGAATATTCAAAAGGAGTGTTTTGCATATAGCTTATTTAAGTGTGCTGAGACGAATGTCAGTTATCACATACTGAAGGATTTCCAGGGTCCTGCTGCATTGTACCAATCTGATGCATTTCATTTAAAAAGTTTGGATTCAGCGCGAAAAGCATCACACACATTATAAGTTGTGTTGCTCTCCCCTGTTCTCCCACCTGACTTCTCGGTACACCATGTAATGCACTTTCTCAACTTCCTCCTTTCAGGCGCAGGCACAGTTTCGGAGTTTGACTTTCTTCTCATTAAATTGCTCTTTGCGAGTTGTCTGGAGATGTATCTATTCATTAGCTTTCAAAAGGGTGTCATGTGTATGAATTATGCTAACAGGATCTAATTAGCAGATGCAAATGAGGTTAGTCAAAATTGTACTGAAAAGACAGAAGAAAAGCTCCATGGGATAGTTGGGCGCTCGACAGCTCACCAACCGCCCCCACGCTGGGCACCAAATGTGATGGTTCGCCCCTGCTGCTCCTGTACGGGAGGCAAGGACCGAACCATGGCAGAAGACACAGGGAGGACAGCTGTTCAGGAAAGGTGAGTGCTTTGGCCTGTCCGGCTTTTGAAATGTCATCCTGAGTCCGGAGAGAATCGGACTCCGACAAATGATTGCAAAGAAGTTTAAGCCCGGCTCACAGTGTCCCAAAAGAAACAGTTACACAACCGGCTGATGGAACTCCAAAATTCGGCGTGAAGAGGACTCAGTTATAGCAGCCGCCCACCAGCGTCTCCTGCCTCTCTGACATCAGTGGCCCCGGCTGTAGGGGGGGGCTGGCAGGACGCAGGGAGCATGCCTTCTGGCCTGGGTCGGGACAAGGGCCAGGATGACACGCACACATGTATGGGACTGTGGTAATGGCTCCCACTCAACACAGGAGCAGAGAGGAGCAGGAGGCAGCAACTAGTGACCCCCCATCACCAAAAAGGGCCTCGCTAATAAGCACCAGCGATAGGAACCAAAGGGCAGAGCCAAGACTGGCACCGAGTCAAGGGTAAAGCAAAACGGAGAGAGTTTGGATGTTTGGATCCGTGGCTTTGGAGAGCTGTTGTTTAGTAATCCCTTTGTAAAATGTCTACAATGTGGAGCGTTGGAGTATTAAAGGTGACGCTTTGAATGACTTTTAAATGTTTTAACTCATGATGAAGAGAGAGGAGAGATATTAGCTAAGTGCGTATGGTGCATTCATTTATATTACAAGATTATCTGCACTTTCCACAATCACTGGTGCTATTGATGAGCGTGAAATGTTGTCAGTTTTAACCCAATCCTTAAAGGTTTATAGGAGGAGTTTCCCAAAGTTTAGGAAAGAATCGCCCTCTCCACTTTTTGAACAATACTCTGGTCTTATTTGACGAGCAATTATCCTCCACACACTGTAAATAACTGGTGACAGTAGCTCAGTTGGTAGAGCATTGGCCTTTGAGCCTGAAGGTCGTGGGTTCGAGCCCACCTCAAGACCTACTTCACGACTCCCACTGATGACTGCTGTTGTTGTGTCCTTGGGCAAGACACTTAACCCCACTTTGCCTGAAGCCCCCACTGAGAGATCTCAGCTCCTGTGGACTCACCACCTGCAGGAGGATCAGTGAGGGGCTGGTGCTGAGTGTACTGGGTGCAGCTCTGACTGCCACCCCCCCGACCCAGAAATGGATTAAGGGGAAGAAAATGGATGGATGGATGGACACTGTAAATATTAACGGACCTAGTCACGCCTTTCTCTGCAGTTGAAACTAATGTGTCATCACTTTTGCCTTCTATTCGGCTTTTTAAAAATGGCCGTGGGCAGCCCCTCCCTCAGGAAAATAGCCGGCACCAGCCCCATTCATTTAATGAGTGCCTTCTGAAGTCCACAGCAGCGAAACTAGACTGGTCCAAATAAATATACTCCCCTCAGCATTGACAACTTCTGGAACGTAGCTTTGGACCAAGAACCACGTTTGGACCAAGAACCACTTTTGGACCAAGAACCACTTTTGGACCAAGAACCACTTGTGGACTGTTATAGAAATCTTACCAGTAAATCTATTGAAACTAACTAAACTGTTTTTCTGTAGGGACGCGAGGCCAATGAACGGGGTGGAGGCAGATACGAGATTGATATCAGGGGCAAGAAGAGCAGGCTCACCGGTCATACTGACAATTCTTCCTAATATCAGAGTAATATCAGAGTCTATCAGAGTAAGACGTCAGAAGAGAGGGGGGTTTTGGGCTTAGCTTCCACTTAATCTCGGACTCAGAGACGCCATAGATCAGGGGTCGGCAACCCGCGGCTCCGGAGCCGCATGCGGCTCTTGAGTGCTCCTGGAGTGGCTCCTGGAGCCTTTTCAAAAATGTCTGAAAATGGAGTGTGAGGGCTATATTTTATTTCTAGTTTGAATGTGGTTTCTGTAGAAGGAAAAACAATCTTTACGTTTTTAAATGCTGTAAAAATATGTATAAGTAATATCTAATTTCAACATTTCTGTCAACGTAGTGCATCATATCCTATGACACGCCGTCACGCAGCCCCGCCCCATGCGGCCGCTGCTGTAAACAAACCGGCGTGTGTGCATGATAGACTGTAAGTGCACATGGATCCCAAAGCTAAAGAGTCAATAACAAGACTGGACTAAGAATGAGAATGAACATTTTCTTTCAGTCAATGAGGAAGGACTGCTTCATGTTTGTAATGAAAAGTTTTGTTGCAACACGAGGAACAATGACACGCAAAACACCGTAAACAGTGATTACGTGAAGGATTCATTCATCAAAAATTCAGAGCACCTATTTTCAGACTTCAAAACCTTCTCAAAGACGGTGAAAAAAAAGGCCATTAAGGATTTTAATTCAGCTCCAGCAAACTTCAGCCTGTGACGTGATGGATATGAGCAGACAGTGATGCAGGTGACCTCTGAGCCCAAAGCAGATTTATTTACTGTATTTCTACAATTGCATGAAGGCAAAAAAATGGAAGTTAAACTAAAGCAGAGTTGTCCCGTGCTGCGTCATTCACGACACGCGTGGTGCGACACGCTGCAGTGAAAACACACATTTTATAATCATGAATGATTATTATGTATTTGTAGCATTTACTTTGTCATTTAGATATTAGGCTAATATAGCTAATACATCTTGCAGCCTGTGTTAACTTCATAAAAGCCTTATACAAGGCTGTTATTTTTTTGCGGCTCCAGACAGATGTTGTTTTTAGTTTTTTTTGTCAATTATGGCTCTTTGAACATTTTGGGTTCCCGACCCCTGCCATAGATAGACTCTTCTGTTTGTTTCATCCTATAAATGTGAGAGAGAATGAGCACTATTCAGCAGATCTACCCGGGACCTGCCACGCGGTTATACGGTTGTATTTCCTGTATATGTATACATTTACTGAGATAATAAACCACACTTTGATTTGAATTACAGCTCTTGTTGTTTATTTTATATTTAATATTGTGTATTTCACTCCTTAGAAATTCCACAACAGGACCAAGAGCCACTTTTGGACCAAGAACCACTTTTGGACCAAGAGCCACTTTTGGACCAAGAACCACTTTTGGACCAAGAACCACTTTTGGACCAAGAGCCACTTTTGGACCAAGAACCACTTTTGGACCAAGAGCCACTTTTGGACCAAGAACCACTTTTGACCCAAGAGCTACTTTTGGACCAAGAGCCACTTTTGGACCAAGAACCACTTTTGGACCAAGAACCACTTTTGGACCAAGTACTACTTTTGGAGCATCCTGTAAAGCCGACTTTGAGAGGAACGAAGACGCCATACAAAAGCATTGGATAATTCTGTTTCCAGGTCCACCCCCACAGGCCTGGGGTGGTATTGCAAGTATGTCAGCGCACGTGCTCATGGACCTTTTTGAGCCAGGACCCGCCCACACTGGAATCACCAGAATGATTGACAATTGGGAGGTCTTGATGATCCAAAGGGAAGTAGAAAATCCTCCTACATACCTTTAACAAACCCATACACTGACCTGAGCTATAGCCTTATCCTGTGTGTTTCTCTCTGCCCTCTTCTTCTGTGATTCACCAGTGTCTGTAGAAAACCTTAGGCTCTTGGATAAATACAGATATCAGCGTTGTCCAATCAAATATCTATAAATATCAATCAATAAAATATGTTTTAGTGATGTTCAGCCGCTATAGTCATTTACCACCAACTATGCAAATGGTTCATCTTCATTCATCATTGATACTATTGTAGCATAACACAGTCCCTCGGTGGTCAACTCAGTCGCTGACCACATTACTCACGGACCACATTACTCGCTGACCACATTACTCGCTGACCACATTACTCGCTGACCACATTACTCGCTGACCACATTACTCGTGGACCACATTACTCACGGACCACATTACTCGTGGACCACATTATTCGCTGACCACATTACTCACTGACCACATTACTCGCTGACCACACTACTCGCTGACCACATTACTCGCTGACCACATTACTCGTGGACCACATTATTCGCTGACCACATTACTCACTGACCACATTACTCGCAGACCACATTACTCGCTGACCACATTACTCGCTGACCACATTACTCGCTGACCACATTACTCGCTGACCACATTACTCGCAGACCACATTACTCGCTGACCACATTACTCGCTGACCACACTACTCGCTGACCACATTACTCGCTGACCACATTACTCGTGGACCACATTACTCGCTGACCACTTTACTCGCTGACCACTTTACTCGCTGACCACATTACTCGCTGACCACATTACTCGCTGACCACATTACTCGCTGACCACTTTACTCACTGACCACATTACTCGCGCACCACATTACTCACTGACCACTTTACTCACTGACCACATTACTCGCGCACCACATTACTCGCTGACCACATTACTCGCTGACCACTTTACTCGCAGACCACATTACTCGCTGACCACTTTATTCGCTGACCACATTACTCGCTGACCACTTTACTCGCTGACCACATTACTCGCTGACCACTTTACTCGCTGACCACATTACTCGCTGACCACATTACTCACTGACCACTTTACTCGCTGACCACATTACTCGCTGACCACATTACTCACTGACCACATTACTCACTGACTACTTTACTCGCGCACCACATTACTCGCAGACCACATTACTTGCTGACCACATTACTTGCTGACCACATTACTCATGGACCACATTACTCGCGCACCACATTACTCGCTGACCACATTATTCGTGGACCACATTACTCGCTGACCACATTACTCATGGATCACATTACTCGCGCACCACATTACTCGCTGACCACATTATTCGTGGACCACATTACTCGCTGACCACATTATTCGTGGACCACATTACTCGCTGACTACTTTACTCGCGCACCACATTACTCGCGCACCACATTACTCGCTGACCACATTACTCGCTGACCACATTACTCGCTGACCACATTATTCGTGGACCACATTACTCGCTGACTACTTTACTCGCGCACCACATTACTCGCGCACCACATTACTCGCTGACCACATTACTCGCTGACCACATTACTCGCTGACCACATTACTCGCGCACCACATTACTCGCGCACCACATTACTCGCGCACCACATTACTCGCGCACCACATTACTCGCGCACCACATTACTCGCTGACCACATTACTCGCTGACCACATTACTCGCTGACCACATTACTCGCGCACCACATTACTCGCTGACCACATTACTCGCGCACCACATTACTCGCTGACCACATTCCTTACTGACCACATTACTCATGGACCACATTACTCGCTGACCACTTTACTCGCTGACCACATTACTTGCGGACCACATTAGTCCACATTAGTCCACATCAGTCCACTACTGTTTCCATGTCAGATTGTTGGTGTTGTCCTTTATCCTGGATTCAAGTATTCAGTATTATTTGTATAAATTCATGTGTTTCTATGTGTTTTTATTGTTGCTGTTATTCCCTTTCTGTGCAACACTTTGTTAAGCCTCAGATGTTTTTAAATGTACTTTACAAATAGATATTGACTGATGTTTTTTGCCAATATTAGTTCATTCTTTATTTGCAAGAGTCCTCCTTGGTGGGTACACAACAGTCAACACATCTGAACATAGTAAAGTATTTTACTAATTACTCACTCATTATCCACCATGTTGACATGAAGCATTGCTCGTTACAACATGTTTGCTTTTGCCTTAACTGGATTTTAATTTCTCTCAATTACATGGAAGAAATAAAGTGCGAGCTCTTCAACATTTTCATTACATCTGAGGGAATCTACATCTAGAAGTGAAAGAGAAAAAGATGTGTTTTTGTGTTCGGGGCCACCCACTCACTTCCTCTGCAGCTCCGTGACTCACAGCCGTCCCCAACCACAGGTGACACCTCTGTCCCACCCACCGATCCAGCCTCTCACAGACCAGGGTTCACTTTGACCTGCTTTTACCCATGGATCTATAATAAAGTCAGTTAGTGCAGCTTTAAATCCACACTTTACTGCCACAAAACTCTGCTCCTTTCCTTCCCGCTCTGACTCCGCTCTGCTGCTGCTCTGATCAGCTCTGATTGGTCAGAGCGCGGCCGAGCCCCTCTGTGCACGTGCATGAGAGCCACACACGCGTATTTGGCGCAATGCATCATGGGAGATCATCCACTGCGCAGAACCGGGAGGACCAGCCGATGCCCAAATATGGGCAAGTTCCTTTGATGTGTCAGCGCTCGTGAAGTCCCATGCGCTACTGAGCACAAGCCATTTATATGAATAGGGCGCCATCTTGGATCACCGGGGCTTGGTTTTACTGCTTCTCAAAGTAGGCCTGATGATTTCCCCTGCCGTCTCATTGGCTCTCATTCACCCTCATTCACCCTCAGTCTCTCTCATTGGCTCTCTTTCTCTCATTCTGATTCTCTCATTATCTCAAACTCTCTTGTTCTCTCTCATTCACCCTCATTCTCTCTCATTTGCAGTAATCTTGAGCAGAAACCTACAGCTGGACAATAATCATAATTATGTGCATTTTTCACAGGAACAGAAAACAAAAGGCGGACCTGCAGTTGGTCTGTGGTAGAGTCTGAGCTGAGCCCCGGTCTTCACACCTCCCACATGGTTCTAAGTGTTGCATTGTCCCCCCACCAGATATTCATGTGTGCATCGACTCCTCCAGCACCGAGACCCGCAAAAGCCCTGATTTATGGAGACCACGCGGCCCGGGGGCTTCCCTTGGAGTCCGGCCCCAGTTTAGATTTGAGGCGGGTGAGGTGTGTGTGGGGGGGGGGGGGGGGGGGGGGGGGGGGCGGACCTGGGTTTCCCTCAAAGGGTTTCATAAGAACAACAGTGAGACAGTTAGAGTGTCTTTGTCTTTTCATCTTTAACATTCTACAACATGTATGACATTCTTCAACATTCATGGACATTGGTCTCTCCCTATGGTCCAATACCATGTGGTCTCTCCCTATGGTCCAATACCATGTGTTCTGTATATTCTGTGTCTTAACTGTTGATTCTCTGATCTGTGTTGGTGATTTCAATGGTTTTGTGAAGTCTCTGAGATGATGCTGTTGTGATTTATGGCTACACACAAATAAATTGTATTGTGTAATTGTTTCTTGCACGAGACCCAGGTTTTGAAGCTTAGCATTTATTCTACTTTTATTCATTAAACCTTATTTTATATCTAAGTAGAGTCTGATCATGTCCATGTCACTATCTGGGGGTGCTTTTCTCAAGTGTTTTTCTCAAGAATATTCCATCAATGCCACAATGACCTGTTGACAAAAGAGTCAGGACTGAGTAGATGGAAGTTCAACTTTTCAGGAAAGAACTCTGTACTATCAGTCTGTATCACATCTGAACTTAGGCTTCAAGTTATTTATGTATTTTACAAAGATTTACAGATTTTCTTATCGACTGGTTGTAGGCTCCTGGTAACCATTCATGGATTCTAGTTTGACTCTGATCTTTTTATGCAAATGCTGAGAGACTGGACTTTTAAGAACTTGCTGACCACGATATGGCTTTGTTTTGTGCTGGTTTGTGTTTGTCCAAGTCTCCAGAGCGTCTCCACTTGTGTTCATGTCCATAATGACGTGCTGTCGTTTGGGCCGTTCTGTCTGTGTGGCTCAACAAATGCCAATCTGGGCATTTAGAGCCGAGTCCAGCTCCAGCTCCTGTCGGTTCTATCGAGGTCTAATCTCTCAGATGAACCTCGAGGAGTGTCCCTCAGAGAGACAGAATGTTTAGTCCATGTGTCTAGACCTCCACCATTCTGACCCAGCAGCACAGAAGGACACACAAACACTCGACAGACGCCGGTAACGAACAAATGCACCCGCTCTCCTCAGACATGTGACTTGGAAATGCATTCTCACTGCTGTTCAGACTCATTGTTGACAGCGCTCCACATACTGTATATACAGTAAAGTTACCGCACATGGTACCTGCAACCTGGTACCTCAGCCCAGGAGCAGGTCTGTGTCCTGTGGAGCCGCCCCCTGATCTCCGTCCTGTACCCAGCTCTCCTCTCAAGACTCGCTCGATCATGGACCACTTCCATGCTATGTGGGAGTCCCTGCTGTTCCGGTGGCTGCCAGGCGCCCCTCTCCTTTGGCGTGCTCAGCTCCTTAGCGGTGGGAGCCCATCTGATGTGGTCGCTCCATCTGACAGATCGCTCAGTCCGGGGGCCCAGCCGGAGCAGGACAGAGAGCTGAGGCCGCAGATTGTTGTAGAGCATTTACATGTAAATAGAGCGTCCAGGCCTGGTCTGGTTCAATATTGGAGGTGTCCGTGCTCCGAGGGGCCCTCTGTGTGTGCACATATGAAGGCTGCTGTCATGTATGTGCATGGCATGATCCAGCGCAGCACCATTATACAGCTGCCAAATTGTGCGAATGTTTTAATACAATAGCATTCTGTGCCCTCTAATTATATCTAATGGCTGCTGGATGCATTTCTTGCGTGGCAAAAATAGGAATCTCTTCATTATTTATTGGCATAAAACAGTTAGATTTGCTCAGAAAAAATATGTTCTATTTGCATTTCATCTGCTGAAACGAGTCTAATGAGAGAAGGATTCAAACCCATCATGCAGTCTGTGTTTAGGCTCTTTTTGAACAGAACGAGACCGGACCAAAAAGGAGGAGCTAGTTTTACTGTTTGGGGAAGTACAGACGCTTCCAGCTGATTGGTCGAAGCAAAGTCAACAGAAGAACAAGCAAATGACTTTTGCTAAGATCCAATTCAGTGATTTCTAGAAACATTCAAACGTCATGTTAACTTCATTTATTTACCCATTTTTACACTTTTTATCCTGCTTTTTATTTAAATGTAGAAAATTAATTCTGTCTTCTTATGTTTATGGCTTTTAGGTTCTTCTAATAAGACAATTAAAGCAAAACAAAGCTAGTACTGCTTAAATACCTGACATGTTTGGGCGGTACACTTCCGCCTTTATCAGAGGTGACACGTGATGGTGTGACGCGTCTCTTATCAGCTGTTGTTGCCGGAAGCAGTCAGTCTGACAGATCTCACAGATCCATCAGAGATCTGTGAGATGGTTCATGTGCTTAGATGATGTGGAGCGATTTTGAGGTGGTCCCCCGCGCTGTGGCGGGGGACGTGGTCAGTCTGATGGATCTGTGAGATCTGTCAGACTGACTGCTTCCGGCAACAACAGCTGATAAGAGACGCGTCACACCATCACGTGTCACCTCTGATGAAGGCGGAAGTGTACCGCCGAAACATGTCAGGTATTTAAGCAGTACTAGCTTTGTTTTGCTTTAATTGTCTTATTAGAAGAACCTAAAAGCCATGCTTTTTATTTAGTTTAGTTCATTATTACTGTCACACACATTATACTTCTGTGCCTCCATCAGACGCTGAGTCCAGTGTTCACACAACAACAGACGAATGAAAACACAGACACAGACTTGGTTTTCAGTCCTCTCCCCTGGGCTCGAGTCCCTCCCCTGGGCTCGAGTCCTCTCCTTTGGGCTCGAGTCCCTCCCCTGGGCTCGAGTCCTCTCCTCTGGGCTCGAGTCCTCTCCTCTGGGCTCGAGTCCTCTCCCCTGGGCTCGAGTCCTCTCCTCTGGGCTCGAGTCCTCTCCTCTGGGCTCGAGTCCTCTCCTCTGGGCTCGAGTCCTCTCCTCTGGGCTCGAGTCCCTCCCCTGGATCGAGTCCCTCCCCTGGCTCGAGTCCTCTCCCCCCTGCAGCTTCTGGTCTGGGCCGAGTGAGTTCAGAGGAAAGTGTTGAACATTGTCAGTTCTGACTCGGACTGAACCACACGGAGGAGAACATTCTGTAAATCTGTTTGTGTTTTATTCACAAATAAATAAATAAGTTTCATGAAAAAACTGCTTCTTCCTAAAATGCAGTTTCTGAGTCCGGCCCAAAAAGTGAGAAAAGCCCCAAGTGTTTGAGGTAACAGCTCCACAGGGCCTCATGCAGGGTCAGGGCCTCATGCAGGGTCAGGGCCTCATGCAGGGGTCAGGGCCTCACGCAGGGTCAGGGCCTCATGCAGGGTCAGGGCCTCATGCAGGGTCAGGGCCTCATGCAGGGTCAGGGCCTCATGCAGGGTCAGGGCCTCATGCAGGGTCAGGGCCTCATGCAGGGTCAGGGCCTCATGCAGGGTCAGGGCCTCATGCAGGGGTCAGGGCCTCATGCAGGGTCAGGGCCTCATGCAGGGTCAGGGCCTCATGCAGGGTCAGGGCCTCATGCAGGGTCAGGGCCTCACGCAGGGTCAGGGCCTCATGCAGGGTCAGGGCCTCACGCAGGGTCAGGGCCTCATGCAGGGTCAGGGCCTCATGCAGGGTCAGGGCCTCATGCAGGGTCAGGGCCTCATGCAGGGTCAGGGCCTCACGCAGGGTCAGGGCCTCATGCAGGGTCAGGGCCTCACGCAGGGTCAGGGCCTCATGCAGGGTCAGGGCCTCATGCAGGGGTCAGGGCCTCATGAAGGGTCAGGGCCTCATGCAGGGTCAGGGCCTCATGCAGGGGTCAGGGCCTCATGCAGGGTCAGGGCCTCACGCAGGGTCAGGGCCTCACGCAGGGTCAGGGCCTCATGCAGGGTCAGGGTCTCATGCAGGGGTCAGGGCCTCACGCAGGGTCAGGGCCTCATGCAGGGGTCAGGGCCTCACGCAGGGTCAGGGCCTCATGCAGGGTCAGGGCCTCATGCAGGGTCAGGGCCTCACGCAGGGTCAGGGCCTCATGCAGGGTCAGGGCCTCATGCAGGGTCAGGGCCTCATGCAGGGGTCAGGGCCTCATGCAGGGGTCAGGGCCTCACGCAGGGTCAGGGCCTCATGCAGGGTCAGGGTCTCATGCAGGGGGGAAGGGTCTCATGCAGGATCAGGGCCTCATGCGTTTCAGCCTCAAAGAAATTTTTTACAAACGTTTTGCTAAAGATGTGGTCAGATTAGTTTAATAAATCATAAAAATGTGTAGTTTGTGTAAAGTCAACAGTGGATGATTTGTAATGATCTGATCTCAAACTGAAGCGGTCTCCAGTCTAATAAAGTCAATGACAACCAAGACCTATCTTTCACCCTGTTGCCGTGGCGACGACAAATGCTACCCATTCTGTGTCTATGGGAAATGTACACCTCGCACGATTTGGCAGAGAATCGCTCTACATCATCTCAACACCTCCATCAATCAATTCCATCAATATTTGTTCATTGTTTGTTCATTGGTCACATGGTCATCCAATGGAGACTTTATATAAACGGACACACTCACAGATTATTCATGCGCTCCTGTTTACACATAAGTCTGATTTGTGCTAAACTTGACTCGGTTGTTCTACTCCTGGGCCTGGGTCACCTGAAGGTGTGAAATATTACATTTGCTCTTTAGCGCCCCCTACAGACTGAGTCATTTTCACACATGTCGGTTGTAAAGCAACTCCTCCTCGTCCGTTTCACCGATTCGCCTCAAAATTGCTCCACATCATCTAAGCACATGAACCATCATTTTGATTTCAGAGAATTTTGATCAGTGAAAGGTTGTTCGAGCAGCGGAGCGGCAAAAAGTGGCATTTTTATTTGCTCCCGTTTGCACAAATAAAGTCTGATTTGCACAAAACTTGAATCCATTGTTCAACTCCAGGGTTTAGGTCAGGTGAAAGTGAAATATTTGAAATTGGCCCATTAGCGCCCCCTACAGACTGAGGCAAAGTTTTACATGGGGAGCCAAACCAACTCAGCTGATCATATTCATTACAATTTCACAAACATTCTTCTGTGGCTACGGGAACAAATCATGGTGCGGCGGCGCCACCTCCGATGCACGGTTCGGCGTGGGGCTGTGCGGTGCGGCAAGGGCCGTTCAACGCCGCTTGCAGCTTTAATTAGTATTGCTATTATTGATACATTTTTTGTTCTTTTTTGTTTTTTTTAACTCTATTATTAAACATACTTTTCATTATTATATGCATTTTTTTTCAAATTTCATTTCTATTTATTCTTTTCTTTACATCATTTTAATATTATCATTCATATTATTGTTTTTGTCTCATCTTTTGTTTGCATCTAAAGGCAAAGACATTGGGACCATGGACGGAGCACGACACATAAATGCTACAGTACATAAGCAATGAGAGAAAGGATAAGTCGCAGACCTCTGCAGAGCGCAGCACTGTGTCCCCCGGGCCCCGGGTGATACTTCCTATAGTGCAGTAATCCAAAAACCATGTCGTGGGTCCCTCCTGGGGGGGGTCAAAAACACATCAGGTCCCCCCCCCCCCCCCCCCCCCATCCCCTCATGCACAGATTTGTCTTAACGCTCAGGATTAGCATCGGCTCCAGAAGAAGAAATCCTCTCAGTATCTTTGAACGCATCTCATCTGTGGCTCAGACCAGAGCTTTTTTCACACTCACTGGAAAAAAAACCTTAAAAAACAGAAATGAAAATAAGTAAAAAACTGCTTAAAATATTAAAAATGATCTGTCAAGAGAACGAGAAAATGTGACGTAAGATTTCTGAAATAAGAAAATAAAACTAGCCCCAGACGACTTCTAGAATAAAACCGTACATTTTGGCTCAGTGTGTAGAGCACTGGCCTTTGAGCCGGAAGGTCATGGGTTCAAGCCCACCATGAGACTTTCTCAACCGACTCCCACTGACGTCTGCTGTCGTTGTGTCCTTGGGCAAGACACTTAACTCTGGGAGCTGCGGGTGTAAAGTGCCAAACTGCAGCCGATGGCACAGACTGGTTGCCTCGCTTCTGTCAGTGTGCCCCAGGGCAGCTGTGGCTACAGCAGTTTATCACCACCGTGTTTGGAGAGAGAGAATAATAATGTGAAGAGACTTAGAGAGTCCTGAAATGCGCTATAAAACCAATCTATTACTGTTATTATTATTATTATTATTACATTAGTATTATTTATCCATCCATCCATCCATCCATTTTCTACCCTTTAATCCATTTCTGGGTCAGGGGGGTGGCAGTCAGAGATGCCACCCAAGTCTCATAGCACCAGCCCCTCACTGACCCTCTGCAGGTGGTGAGTCCACAGTAGAGTTTCGCTTTTCAGCCCGAGCCCGAGCAGGCCCGAGCCCGACCCGAGTACGGGCCGGGCTTGGGCCTCACTTCAGCGCTCAGCAGTCGGGCCGTTCCGGGCTCGGGCTCCTTTTTATTTTTCCTTTTTTTATTTTTTTTAATCAATATTTTTTATTATTTTATGATTTTCATACATAATGATATGCATATATGTATTTATTAATAATAATGTCCGTTGATTGACAACAAGTTATTAAAAAAGTTGATATATTTATCACCGTAACCGGCGTGTCCTACAGCCGCAGCAAGCCGTGAACGCATCATCCCTGTTTTTCCTGTTGAATGCTACGGTCAACAGCGAACACACGGAACATAACAGAAATGGATCAGGTGGTCGTACAAAACACATTCAGAAGTGGCTAAACTTGCAATTGGAAGGTGAGTGCGTACAAGAAGGGAAATCAGATGTGTCGGGCTTCTGTTGGGCTCGGGCCTATTATACAACCTTAATTGGTCGGGCTTATACGGGCTCGGGCTTAGTATTAGCGGGCTCGGGCCGGGTCGGGCTTGATTTTTCAGGCCCGAACGAAACTCTAGTCCACAGGAGGCTGCTCTCTGAGTGTGAGCATAGCCTTGATCTTTCAGTGGGGGCTTTGGGCAAAGTGGGGTTAAGTGTCTTGCCCAAGGACACAACGACAGCAGTCATCAGTGGGAGTCGGTGGAGAAGGTGCAGAGGTGGGAATTGAACCCATGACCTTCTGAGCTACTGTCGCCCCTAGTATTATTTACTTATTTATTAAACCTTTTTGAGAAATGTTTTCACTTTTTGAGTAACTTTATCTTGAAGCTTTGAGCTGAATCTTTGGAGAATCTTTTTTAAAGGCACTTTTACATCAAACTGCATCTCAAACGTAAAGGCTGAGAAATAAAAAACTAGGGGTTCAATAAAAACAAAATATAAATGTTGCTTTATTTAAGTTGTAAACATTAAAGGGTTAAAATCCAACATCACAAACTTAATTTATCTGAACAACAAAAGTTTGGAAATAATAAAAACAAGCTTAAAAACTCACTGCTCAGACTTTTTCCTCTAAGATTATGAAGTATCTTAAAACTAGTGAAATAATCTTATGACGAACTTCAACAAAAACTTGCCATTAAAAAACAAGCATCATTTTTAGTAATTAATTCGTTCCAAGATTTGACTTTGTTCAGCGTCGAATCTGTTAGATACAAATGCATTTTTCACCAACTCACTGCAAAAAAATATATAAATACTACCTTAACCAACACTGCAAAAAATATATAAATACTACCTTAACCAAAACTGTAAAAAATATATAAATACTACCTTAACCAACACTGTAAAAAATATATAAATACTACCTTAACCAACACTGTAAAAAATATATAAATACTACCTTAACCAACACTGTAAAAAATATATAAATACTACCTTAACCAACACTGTAAAAATATATAAATACTACCTTAACCAACACTGCAAAAAATGTATAAATACTACCTTAACCAACACTGTAAAACAAAAATATATAAATACCTTAACCAACACTGTAAAACAAAAATATATAAATACTACCTTAACCAACACTGCAAAACATATATAAATACTACCTTAACCAACACTGCAAAACATATATAAATACTACCTTAACCATCCATCCATTTTCTTCCCCTTAATCCATTTCTGGGTCGGGGGGGGTGGCAGTCAGAGCTGAACCCAGTCACAGAGCACCAGCCCCTCACTGATCCTCCTGCAGGTGCTGAGTCCACAGGAGCTGAGATCTTTCAGCGGGGTCTTCAGGCAAAGTGGGGTTAAGTGTTGCCCAAGGACACAACAACAGCAGTCATCAGTGGGGAGTCAAGAAGTAAGTCTTTTGAGGTGGGCTCGAACCCACGACCTTCAGGCTCAAAGGCCAATGCTCTACCAACTGAGCCACTGTTACTTCCTTAACCAACACTGTAAAACCAAAGCCAAAGCTGGATGTGGTTTTCTGATTGACGTTGACACCTGTGGGGATTCTGCTCCGTGTAAAACATTCAAATCAAAGCGTCGCAGGAGACGGACTTATTTTTATGGAAAACATCCCTCGCTGTCGCCGCGTCAGAAATAATCATTTTACATGATTTATATTGAAATGGTTTTTGTTCAGAGAGACATGAATCTCATTTGGTTTTGTTTAAAGCAGCGGTCTGTAACTTCGCCTCTCGCAGTCTCCTGAGGCTCGGGTTTGACGAAATTATCTACGTGAGCGAAATCAAAAGCAGAGTTTGGGTTAATTATGAAATAAGAATAAATAGGATGAAATAAGAACATGCAGGTTGTGTCGGTGTCGGACTGTGATTGGACGAAAGAAAAGGGAAAAACTGAGAAGATGTGTCTTTTATATATTTCATGAATTTAAATTTTTATCCTTGTTCTGTTTACGTATTGTCTTGTGCACACACTGGGGACTTTTGCACAAGTATTCCAATGTGGTTTTACTGCAAATGGCAAATATATTAATTTAATGAATTCTGAAGATTACAATTTGTGAATATCCACATGTCCACCCCGGGGCCGGTGTCCACAAAAGCTTTGCAGAAATATCTAAGATTGTAAATTTGTATAAGCACTTTTCATTAGCTATTTTTGCTCAGACTGCTGCGCCCGCAACCCGGCAACGGATGAAGCGGAAGAAAATAGATGGATGGACTTTTTATGATAAAGAAACACTTATGTATTAGCTCCTGTACTTCTCAGATCACACCTGGTTTATTAATTAAGAATAATAAGTTTGATCTGGCTTAAACATCAAACTAATCCTCACATCTTTAACCGTTTTGCTACTCGTTTTTCACTTTAATACATTTTTGTTTTTGACATAAAATAATGAGTCGACAAAAAGGTAAAGATTAAGGAGATTTGTCCCATTGCCCCAGGTCTCTGTCATACTGCTCCACCACAGACAGAGGTTTTTACCTGGGAAACCTGGAGCACTCAGAGGAAACCAACAGAGAGAACATGCAAACTGTACTCAGAAAGGCCCTGTTCCGACCAGGATTCGAACCCAGGACCTTCTTGCTGAGAGTCGAGAGAGCCAATCAGTCAAGAACTAACTGAACTGACTAATGACAACTGTTACATTTGCGTTTTAATATAAATTTCACTTTCTATTTCCATGCATTTGTTTAGTAAATCAGTGCTAAATCTTCATGCTATATGCTACATGCTACAGTACATGCTATATGCTACATGCTAATTAACACAACCATGTGGGTGTTGATTTTACCCTCTGACTCTCTCCGCACTAAACTGTACCAATGAGTTACATTTGGGTCAATGACACGGAAAGGTCCTGAAATGTCCGTGGCTGAACGTTCACAGACTGTTGTGTAGTTCCTTGTTTGTCCAGTGGAGGGCGCTCTACTAAACACAGAGTCGTTCAGGTCTGTAGTATTAACAGCTCCAGGTCAGGTCAGTTTGTTACAGGTATTGGATCATGTCTTTTTGCATAATCTATAATTAGAGATAGATTCTAGCTTTATCCCCAAACATTAAACATTAAAGAAGCAATATGTAAGATTTTCATGTGAAGTCATCATTAAAGGGCCCTAATCTGTCATCATTAAAGGGCCCTAATCTGTCATCATTAAAGGGCCTAGTCTGTCACCATTAAAGGTCCTAATCTGTCATCATTAAAGGGCCCTAATCTGTCATCATTAAAGGGCCCTAATCTGTCGTCATTAAAGGGCCTAATCTGTCATCATTAAAGGGCCTAATCCGTCATCATTAAAGGGCCCTAATCTGTCATCATTAAAGGGCCCTAATCTGTTGTCATTAAAAGGGCCCTAATCTGTCGTCATTAAAGGGCCCTAATCTGTCATCATTAAAGGGCCCTAATCTGTCATCATTAAAGGGCCCTAATCTGTCATCATTAAAGGACCTTAATCTGTCATCATTAAAGGGCCCTTATCTGTCATCATTAAAGGGCCCTAATCTGTCATCATTAAAGGGCCCTTATCTGTCATCATTAAAGGGCCTAATCTGGTAACATTAAAGGGCCCTAATCTGTCATCATTAAAGGGCCCTCATCTCTCCTCATTAAAGGGCCCTAATCTGTCATATTAATAATCTACTCTTTTCCAATACTTCTTTAACTGAAAACATTAGTTCAGAGACATTTGAATTTCTAAATTACTTTTCCAGCCTCTAAATCTTTTATTGTTTTCATTTCGATGTTACTCACCGCGTGGAGCTAATCTCACTGGTAAAGTACCATGTGGCGCAGAACTAAAAAAGGTCTCGTTATGATTCTCAAATAATTAACGACAAAACAAGGAATAAAACCAGGATTTCTATCTTTGTGAAAAAGGTGTTGGTTATAGATTTGTTGTTGACAAAACTCTTGTCTATTCAGCTGTTATGGTCCCAGCTGGATTCGTCTGCATATCTGGCAACCTGAGTCAGGGAGAGTGGGAGAGGCTGCAGTACCACTTTTGGCCACATGTTCACACACTGCAGCTCCTTTAAATAGTCTCTGTCCTGTTCAGTCTTCCATTCACAAAGCCTCCAGCCTGTATATGTAAGTTTTTTTAATTGAAATGGTTTGGAGCCCATCTGAAATTTTCCTTTATATCTATAAACTAGTATTAAAGAATTATTAGGTAAAAAAATATTTGGTCCTAACATTTATTTCATTGAGGTAAGACTGACTTGACAGTTTAGTTTGGCTGAGCCGTCCTCTCAAAAACAAAACCAAACCAAATGAAATGACACGGCATTTTAAAGTCCAGGCATCTCAGCGCGTCTTGGTAACTCAGCCCTGTGTAAATCACAAAGGAAAAGAATACCGGGCCAAAGAAACAGATGAAAGCCACACGTAGCTCAATGTCAAATTCATGGCTGTGTCACGGCTGCATGTTTGAAGACAGATGCGTGTCTGTAACATAAGCTTCCCCTTGATTAAAAGTTAGCACCGTGCCCTCACTGGGAAATACTGGAGGACATCTTTGATAAAGTCGTGAAGTAAATTCTCTCCAATAAAAACGTTCTTGGGTGCGATGATTTGCGGAGGAACTCAGCGCTGGCACGTTTCTCCGCCGCGCTGGCTTCCTTGTTCCCAGCACTCGCTCGCTCCAGGGGTCTCGGTGGCAGGGATGTCTAATGAGACTCGTGTTATTAATCCTTGCAATGGGCGACATGAATCCAGTCCGGACCAGGGGTTGGAGCAGCTATAAAACCAGGAATGCGCCTCTTTCATGTGGCCGTGTTGATGATCTACTCTGACAACAGAATGGCCGGGACTTCCATACCCCTGTCGTGCGGAGCTGAGCCAAAGGCCGCGTGGGGTCATCCCAAATGTACTTGCGGTTTTATAGGTGGTCAAGGAACACGCTGACAGGTCACAAGTGGAAGCTACTTTATGACACGCACCTCATTTGGAATTAGTTTATTTATAGGCGTCCCATAAATCAGCTTTATTCTGTTGTCCAAGTGGGTCCAACGGCTTCGGGAGGCTGCGGTTTGAAGTGAGGCTGGACTTGAGGCACTTAAAAGAGCTAGCATCATGTTTTTACTGTTTGTTTGACCAAGATTTTCTCTCTTTGGGATTGTAAAAGTCTGTGAAACGTGCGGCTGTAAAGTTGAATGAGAAGTTGTGAAAGTTGACTTATACGGTCGGATCGTCGGTCGTTAAAACTGACAGCGATGAGTGGCAGCCCTGGAATTCCAGTGGGACGGTGGAGGTCGTTGGATGAATTAGCATTTGTCGCTAAATTACAGATTAATAACGCGGCGCTAATGACGGACACGTGTTTGAGGTCTGAACTGTACGTGACTTTACAAATGATTCTTTATTATTACTTTATTATTATTATTATTACTTAATTACTACATTATTATTATTATTACTTAATTACTACATTATTATTATTATTACTGTTACCGGAGCTTAGCTTAGCTTTGTCAAACTACATCTGAAAGAACCCAAAACTCACACATTTTTTCATTATATTTTCAGACACAGACAGACAGACAGACACAGACAGACATACAGACAGACAGACACAGACAGACACAGACAGACAGACAGACACACAAACAGACACAGACAGACAGACAGTCAGACATACAGACACAGAGAGACAGACAGACAGACACACACACACACAGACACACAGACAGACAGACAGACACACAGACAGACAAAGACAGACACAGACACACAGACACACAGACAGGTCAGTAACATGCAATAACTAAAAACCAACAAGTCTGATATTTTGTTTATCAGAAAAACATTCAGTTCAAACACATTTTAAAAAGATAAAAACACAGAGCAGCTGTTGGTCCAGAGGCAGCGGGATGACCACTGTCCATGATAAATGTGAATAAATGTTTGTAAATGTCTTAAACCAGTCGTAGAACAGCTAAAAAACCGTCTGAGCTCAATAATCAGACGTTTGTTGTTCATGTGGAGGGAGCAGACTTGACTGACAGCGTGAGCGGAGGACCATGGACCAATCCGCTCTGAGTCTGTCCCGTCTGTGACACCAGCCAATCTGCCTCCAGCCGAGACTCTCCCTCAGCTTTTCACAGATTTCTTATCCCCATTTTCCCCAAATTCATCTCAGCCCTGCCCCTGCCACCCACCCTCCCCCCCCGCCCCTGCCCCTGCCCCTGCCCCTGCCCCCCGGGCTCCCTTTAACAGCACCGGGCACACAACATGTCGCTGCTGGGTCCACTGCCGCCGTCGATGACACCGAGTGAAAAACAAGTGGGAAAGGAAAGAAAGAAGAAGGATGACTGCTACCTATAGGCATTAAGATCACATCCACCTGCAGGGCCTGTCCGGGTTTGAACAGTAGAGGGCGCTGTCCCAAAGTCACTGCAAATAAGAACCAGAAAGTTCTCGTTTGTTCAAATGAATTATTGCAGATGGAGTTTTGAGCCGCGTCAATTTTACGCACAGCTCTCCTCACGTACGTCACTGTTTTATCGTATTTTTTTTCTAAATGTTTAAACCCATTTGCAGAGATTTTAGATATTGGTTGTTAAGAAGTCAAAAGCCCTCAGACTTCGCGGAAATTTTAATTCAGTCCGTTTCACTTTTTAGTGCATTTGTGGGGGCCTCACTGATTCTCCTGCAGCAGGTGGAGGGTCTACGGAAGTGGGATTAAGTGTCTTGCCCAGGGACACATCACCAGCAGGCGTCAGTGGGATGGATGGCAGGTGTAAATGTCTCGTGCAGGGATCAAACCCACGACCATTACATCCAAAGTCAAACGCTTTTCTAACTCAGCCACTGCCTCTTCGCTGGAAATGCACTTTTTATTTTTTTTATTGCAGAAATAAAGACAAAAACGTAGGTACGAAGCTGGAGGTGGAGCTCAGCGAGTGTTGACCCAGAAAGAGTTGATTCAGATTCAGATTATGATTTATTCCACCAGGAGCAATTCGTTTTTCTGCAGACCATAAAAACATTCACGCATGAAATCATAAAAACAGAGGATCACATGTGACGTGAGCAGCCTTTACATTTTCAGTGGCCTCTTTCACGCATGTGTCTTAATAATATTTTCAAATTTGGGGCAAAAAGCGTAAGAGAAAAACGTTTAATTTGACCACATTTTGGATGAGGATATTTTTCCCGTTGTGTTTATCCGCAAAAAAAAAAAAGACAAATGTGGGACAACACCGTGGTTTGATCCTGTACAATATTTCATTCTTCCCTTTTGGCTCCGGCTGCAGCAGGAGCAGATGTGACGGAGACAATTATAGGAAACCAGGTGCACGTGCTCCTGCGTGAGGCGCGTGCCACAAACGCGGACGTAAGAAGAGGTCGTGCGTGAAAATGTTATGAGATTTAAGTTTGAAATTATAGGTTGCTTGAAAAAAACGTGATTTGTGAACTATACGGATCTATACTACTCTCTTACGCGTAGATAATAATAATACAGACAAACGAAAACAGAATGACGTAATGTTTTTTCAAAGAATTTTCCCAAATCACGTGTTTTTGCACTTGTTTGATTTGAATCGGTGAAAGGCAACTACAGGGTTTTTAGTCGAAAAGGAAAGCTGCTGCTGCCCCCCGCGTGCATCTCCCAGAACTGACTCCTCCCTCCCGCTCCTGCGCTGCTGTGTTTAGACAAGAACTATAAGAGCCCCCAATCACAGCGGTCCAGCCCAGAACTTCACCTGATCCGAGACGAGCCGTGCGTCAAAGTCAAGCCCAGAGGAGAGGGGAGTGAGAGTGAGAGTCGCTGCTGGCTGTGTGAACGCGCTCCTGCTCCTTTCTGGGACCCCCCCTTCGTTACTGAACCATGCAGCTCGAGAACATCCTCCCCAGCGCCAGCATCAACTTACCCAAAACCTTTTACAACCTGGCAACCACGGACAGCGCCAGCACCAGCCCCAGGCCTCCCTCGCAGCTCGAGTACCAAGACGTGGAACGCAGCGAGTCCGAGTCCACTTCTGCCGCGGGGAAAAAGTACCTGGGCAACGGGATGCTGGGGGCCGAGGCGACAGAGGGGGAGACAGGGAGGAAGGGCTCCCCCGTTTTGGGAGAGGATGATTTGACCATCTCCAGGCGCTACAGCATCGATGACTTGGGCGCTGATAGATATTTTCTGTCTTCGTCTGCTCAGGCCGGTTCTGACATGACTAACCCGTGCTCGCTGTTCCCTTACGCGGGTCAGACAGCTTACTCTGGGTCCAGTGCATCCAGGTACCCCGCGTCTCTGCACTACAGCTCGGTGTTGCCTCCCGCGGGCTTCTCCTCCTCCTCCGTGTGCAGCAGCCGAGGCCAGTTCAGTGGAGGCGGGTATCAGTTCAGCCAGGGCCCGGGCTGCCTCTACCCCTCTTACCCATCCACCGGCCCCGGGATAGGATCCATGCCACTGACCGGAGGCAGCGCTGGAGCCAGGGCCCAGGTTTATCTGTGCAACCGACCTCTGTGGCTCAAGTTCCACCGGCACCAGACTGAGATGATCATCACCAAACAGGGCAGGTGAGGAGACGTGAGGAGGCCGTGGTTTTACGCATCACTTTTACGCACGAGAAAAGGCCACATTTCTCTCTCTGACATGATTTAAAAAGCCAAAAACGTGCTCTATAATCTCATGATAATTCCATATTCGTTTGTCAAACACATTTACTCTAACTGTGTTGTATTTTAAAAGCTTGAATGTGTTTGAAGCCTGTCATAAAACTGCCTCAAATCCCAAAATGCATCACGCGTTTGTTGTGTGTCTTTTTGCCTTTAGCTCATAATACTTTTTGTAAATGTAATAAATGTTTTGTTTTTTTCTGTTTTAGACGCATGTTCCCGTTCCTGAGTTTCAACATCACGGGCCTGAACCTCACCGCGCACTACAACGTCTTTGTGGAGGTTATTCTCGCGGATCCGAACCACTGGCGGTTCCAGGGAGGAAAGTGGGTCACCTGCGGGAAAGCGGACAACAACATGCAAGGTTTGTGTTCGTTAAATATATTTTAGAATCTCTGTGAATAAAGATTATTTAGTTATTTATAAACGCGGTGTGTGCAGAATCAAAATCATTTTTATTTCCATGTAACACAGAGTAAAGGAAATGGCTTTCTCTCGGTGCAAACACGTCAAAAATACAGAACAGAATGAGGCATAATAAAAATCTACATTTCTAGAATATTAATATTAAATGTGTTAATTACGTGAGGCGGTGTTGGCTTCTTCTGGCGTTCCATTATTTGCAGGAATTTGGAAACATGTTTTTTTTTTTCTCAGATTTTTTCGTTCCGTCTCAAGTTCATTTATTTGGATTCACCTTTTTGAATTTTCAGTTTCGCTTCAAAGGTGCTAAATAAACTGTGGAAGCGTCGCGTCACCACAAGTTGCGTGGGAAAATTAAACTGATTTTATCTGGCCTTAATTCTTTCTCTGATTTGAAATTAAATTAAACAAATGTGTATTTATGTTTTACTTAAATATGACACAAACTAAATCTAAAATAATAATAATTGAAAAGCCCGATTTATTCTTATAATATTTCTTTATAATTGACCGAATTAAATACACTTTTTAGACTATGATTTCCGGTTTTATTATTATTATTATTATTACTGCTTTTATTACTATAACAAATGAATTTTTTAACATAATTTTTTTCCTCTTGTTTTTAGGAAACAAGATGTATGTCCATCCTGAATCTCCGAACACCGGCGCTCACTGGATGAGACAAGAAATCTCCTTTGGGAAACTGAAACTAACCAACAACAAAGGCGCTAATAACAACAACACACAGGTAACTGCGATGAACTGAATTATTCTGTTTTATCATTTCATTTATTTATTCAAAGGGAATACTATTTTCTCCCAACACAAACTGAACGATGCATTGAAATAAAACATAATAATTAAAAGTGGTTTTATGGGTTTTTTTCTCTTTGCAGATGATCGTCCTTCAGTCTCTTCACAAATACCAGCCGCGGCTTCACATCGTGGAGGTGACGGAGGACGGCGTGGAAGACATGAGCAACGAGTCTCGAACCCAGACTTTCACTTTCCCCGAAAACCAGTTCATCGCCGTCACCGCTTACCAGAACACAGACGTAAGATTTCACACAGAATCACCTTTTTTTTAGTGTAAATATGTTTAGTTTACGTTGAAGGATTTCAGATTTCCATCCATCCATCCATGTTCTTCCCTTTAATCCATTTCTGGGTCGGGGGTGGCAGTCAGAGCAGTCCACATAGCACCAGACTAGATTTTTTATTTTTTTATTTAGAGAATATTTGGGTTAATTTGTTGATCATTGCATGTGTCTATTCCACTTCTTTTGCCTCAATGTCATTATAAGAAGTGTATTTGTCTGATTGTGGTTGTGTTTTGTGTCTTGCAGATCACACAACTGAAAATAGACCACAACCCGTTTGCAAAAGGTTTCCGGGACAACTATGACTCGTGAGTGTTTTCGCACTTTGAGCCGCGAACTTCTTCTTTTCTTCCCCTTCTTCCTTTTATATGCGATTGTCTTACCGGCATTTTTCAACCCTTTTCTCCAGGATGTACACCGCCCCCGAGAGCGACCGGCTCACCCCCTCACCCACCGACTCTCCCCGCTCCACTCAGATCGTCCCGGGCGCCCGCTACGCCATGCAGCCTTTCTTCCAGGACCAGTTCGTCAACAACCTGCCTCAGAACCGCTTCTACACCAGCGAACGCGCCGTGCCGCAAACCAACAGCCTCCTGTCGCCTCAGAGTGAAGACTCGTCCGCCGCGGCTTCGGCCCAACGCTGGTTTGTGTCTCAGCAGCAGCCGGGCGCCAACAAACTGGACCTCTCCTACGACAATGACTATTCCACCAGCTCTTTGCTCTCGTATGGCATCAAGCCCCTGTCGCTGCAGACCACGCACGCCCTCGGTTATTACCCGGACTCTGCCTTTGCATCAATGGCGGCGGGATGGGGCTCACGCAGCTCTTACCAACGCAAAGTGACCACGGGTTTGCCCTGGTCGCCACGCCCGAGCCCGCCGGCGTTCCCAGACGAACAGCTGGCAGGAGCGCAGGCAAAGGACAAGCTCCCGGAGGAGACCAGCGTGGCCCCCCCAGCCTCCACTTGGCTCGAAACGTCTCATTCGCTGAAATCTGTGGACTCTAGCGATTACTCCATGGGCTGCAAGAGGCGCCGGATGTCCCCCGGAGGATCCAGCACCGAGAACTCTCCCACCATCAAATGTGAAGACTTAACCGCGGACGAGTACAACAAGGACAACCCAAAAGGCATGGGCTATTATGCATTCTACACCAGCCCCTAAGACTGTATTTATTTAACAAAACTAAACAAAATATACCGATATTTTGGTTTTAATATAATTGATGATATTGAGTGCTCTCCATTCAGTGTTAATGTATTTTTTTCTCTTTTCTCTGAAGGTGCCAAAGCTTAGTGTCCCCCTCCCCACCGAGCTGCACATACCCCCTGCAGGCCACACCCCACATACCTGAACACAGACATAGTGTTGTTGGTTCTTTGCTTTTTCTTTATTTTTTAAAATTAATTTTAAAAAAGCATGATGCCCCGGTTTAAAAGAAAAAAAGACTTGATCACAAAGCTTTTAATTTTGAAAAATGTGAATATTTTGGGTCCTCCTTCTGCGTATTTAAGTCCTTTCTGTTGTACAGTATTTGTGCACTTTAGAATGTGATGTATCTGTACAAAGTGTCTTCTCATTGAGGTGTTACTAAATGGGTAATAAAATGACTTTCGTACATTTTTGTCCTGTTTTATATCATAGTTTTTCTGTAAATAATCAGAAAATCCCATTCATAAAACGTTTAAAAGTGTATAATTTAAAAACGCAGATCACTGTTGACTCCAGATTATTCCGTGTTATGCTTTTTTTTTAACGCTATAATTGTAAATGTCCAATTAACGCATAAAGTTTTATTCAAATTGATGGTAATGACCGTAATTGGAAATGGCCTGAGTCGCCCCCCGCTGTTTGAGAAACACTCCGAGGACGTACATCCAATTTACACTAATGTTAAAGTTAAGTCTGGGCTCAACAGCTGCTTTAAAAACCATTTTCACATCCTGTCATGTGGCGATTCCCGGCCCCAGATTAGAAAACAGTTCTTCAGCATAAATACAGCGAGGTGCAAAAGTCTGGCTGCGCCTCTGCACCAATAATCTCTCTGCCACTAATTGGAATTTAAAGGTGTTTAAAGGAAAATATATATTATGCAAAATAGTAACTCTACAGGACCTGCCACTTCCTTTAAGTGACTTCTTCTGTCATTTCGGATCAAATTAATTTACATTCAGTTAAGGCTAAGTTTAGGTTATTTGACAAAGAACACATTTTTATTTGCACAAAATAACTTAATACACCACTTAAAACTCAATACACAAAAAACAGGAAAAGAATAGAGGAAATATCTAAGTCAATAGAACGAAAAGTTATGAGAATAAACAGTAAAACCAAATAAATAATAATGATAATGCATTGGGGTTATACGGGGCTTTTCAGGACTCTCAAAGTCGTTATTCCTTCTCTCCAAACACGGTGGTGATAAACTACTGTAGCCACAGCTGCCCTGGGGCACACTGACAGAAGCGAGGCCCCTCCCACCTCCACCAACCACACACACACACTAACAATAACTCTCACTCGGGGGTCACCACAGGAGGCTCATGTCGGACCTACTGCATGTTTTTAGTGGTAGAGAAACCGGAGCACCTGGAGGAAACCTACACCGACACAACTCCACACATAGAGGCTCTTTCTGGAGGTGAAATCAAACCCAGAACCTCCGCCGCGCCTGAAAACAATGGAAGAAGTGTAAATATGGAATTATGGGAATGTTCCGCTAATGAGAGTTCCATCGGCGTCTGTTTTTATATCAACAATTCAACTATGACCCTTTTTTTCGCTAATCAAAAACGCCATAACTGAGCAATCTACTTTACTAGAAATGGCTTTTCGAGGTAACACCTTTTCCGATGTATGTGTTACTCCCATGACCTCCCGAAACAAATCCAATTAAAGCAATACAGACGTGTGCGCGCCCCGCCTGTTTGTTACCATGGCATTTTCACACCTTTTTTTGATATACCTCAAAGTGGCGTCAAAACCAGCAAGAAAACTAAATATACTGAATGTTTTACAGCGTCCAAACGAGAGGCTGACATGCTCCCGGCGCTATTTATACAGCCCAAAAGTGGCTTAGCACAAACCCAAAGAAACGGAAAGGAGAAGTCATAATATTCACACTAACTTGGCTCGTGTTCGCGGCACCTGTTTCTCTTTCGGTCTGAAAATACTTTTGAAAAATCCACCCCCAGAAGGACCCCCAGATTCGAATCCATTTACATACTTGAATCCTAATTAATTCTGTTGTCAGACTGTTTGACAAAGTGCGGAGTCTGCCTAACTCCAATTAACACCTCCTAACAAGGTAGAGCCTGATTGCCCCGGCCTCGGAAAGCTGTAAGAAGTATAGGCTCGAGGGGTGGGGGGGGCACAGGAGGGGGGGCACAGGAGGGGGGGGGTTCAAGGCCCTCAATAATCTAAATGTTTGCACTTGTGTGAGTGTGTTTCTGTGCATGAGGTTGTTTACAGGTTAAAGGAGCGTCATTAAGAAGAAAAGTGGCAACGTATGGGCCACAGACGGAACAAACATACAGTCATTTGGTTTGGTATGGGCTGGTATGGTAGGGTTTAGTATGTATGGGCTGGTATGGTAGGGTTTAGTATGTATGGGTTGGTATGTATGGTAGGGTAGGGTAGGGTATAGTTTGGTATGGTATAGTATGTATGGTAGGGTAGGGTAGGTGTATTGTATTGTATGGTATGGTATGGTACAGTATAATAAACGTGTGTGTTTGTGGACAGCAGAGATGTGCCTCAGAATGACGTCGATAAAGCTGATCGTTAAAGAGCGTTCATGAGGAAGAGGATCAATAAACTCCTGCACAGCTCTCACAAACTCACATCATGTTATCCAAAAAACACATATGTGCATCGGGAGACGAAGGATCCACTGTGTACACACACGTGTCGTTCAACAAGTAAAGACACACACACATGTGTCGTTCAACAAGTAAAGACACACACACATGTGTCGTTCAACAAGTAAAGACACACACACATGTGTCGTTCAACAAGTAAAGACACACAAAGACACACAGCAATGTGTTGAATGTGTAAAGACAGTCACCGCCTGAATGCAGTCACAGGCCTGTCCACGGGGCGGGGTCACAGAGGGCGGGGTCACAGGGGGCTCCAACCTGAGCCAAGATGGAGGACCACTCGTCAGTTTCTTCTTATTCTTTTTTAATGGATTGTTTACAGTTTGAGTTTAAAGGTACACTGTAGTTTTACTGCCCTCTAGTGCTGAGGTCATATGTTGTAAATTCCGGGACTACAATAGCTTCAGAGGACACTATGTGGTCTTTGACTGTGGTCCCCAATTCCCGCTCAAACTCCTTTTTGTCCCTTATCAACCGCTGTATTTCAAGATGGCGGATGAACGGAGCCTCGGGGACATGACAACAGTTCAAAAACATATGTTCTTAAAAAGGTCACATTTGTTTTTAACATGTTTTTATCATTTGGAGCAAATGTAAAAATTACACAGAGTGGCTTTAAAGGAACTCTTAACCAGTCAGCGACAAGTTTCATCACATCATCGTAATTATTCAAACATGCAACAATTACATCCATTTTAACTGTTTTTAGACAATTACATCAATTTAACTGTTTTTAGGCTATTTTAACTGTTTTAGGCAGAGTTTTGGAAAGTTTAGAAAAGTATTGAGTATCAATTCTAAAATAATTACACACTTGATGAGGCCTCAAAAACAAATAAAAACATTTGGAGGTCAACAGTTTTGAGGAATTGCGGCGCCATCTGCAGGTGAACCCCAGATCCTGTCCGACCTCTGAAGCTAAGCAGGACAGGGCCTGGTTAGAACTGTGATGGGAGACCTCTGGGAACACCAGGTGCCACAGTGGGGCAGCTGTGGCCAAACTGTGCCAAACTAGTGTTATGTCCTTTGGCAAGACACTTCACCCACATTAGAGTCTGGTGTGTGTGTGTGTGTGTGTGTGTGTGGTGGGTGTGTGTGTGTGGTGGGAGGGGCCGGTGGCACAGGGCATGTCATGTGAAGTGTCTTTGAGTGTGACCTACTCATTAATATTATTAAAATGACAATTTATTCTCCAAAAATAGCACGTACTAATAATCACTGTGGAATTGTTTATATTTTACATAATATAAACAACATTTTAGTAACTTCACATTGAATCATTAAATGAAAACTGGGATCTCTTTGTGAATTACAGTAATATGTGAAGCAGGCATGAAATACTGTCCTCATTACACTGATGCTAATATTAACAAGTTGGTGTTATTTAAAGGATATATACTGTATAGAAGGATTTTCTACTTCCGGGTGGATCATCAACTCTATTGGTCCTCCTAACTGTCAATCATTCTGGTGATAGTTTACCGTCATATAAGACCAGGCAGTTTCGTTCAAAAAGTGGAGAAGGAGATTCTTTTGTGAAATTTGGGACAATCCTGTTTTTAAGTCTTACTCAGACTCAAAACAAGATGGAAACAGTCACACAAAAATAATCACATACATTGAAAAGAAAGATAAAAATATAAACCCTTCAGTTGTGGCACAGCGAGACCCATTTTAATCTCTCACAGTCACAACTTTGTCTTTTTTGTGACTAATTACAATGTAACAAGCGTCCCTAAAACAAAGCCCCCCTCGGCCCTGTCTGTATTTAGCACAGTACTTGTTGTAAGTGTCTGCAGCGGGACGTCCCAGGCCAGTGTCAGCCTCGCAGCTCTGCAGAGGTGCGACCAGACGCCTGTTCACGAGAGCGGCTCATTTGGGTGAATAGTGTTGGCACAGACTCCGCGGAGGTGCCATGTCCCGGGCCTGGCCTGGGTCACTGGTGCATGGGTAATAGTTCAGAGCAGCACTTAACAGGACATTGATTTCAAACCCCGTCGTCGTCTCAGGGGGCTCCGCGGCTCCACAGACCCCCTTCTGTAAGCGGCCTGTGTTCCCTCCTGACCCCTCCTGCCATTACCCTGCCCCGGCTGGACCAGGCTGCAGTGGGGCGCGCTGCACTGCAAAACTGAGGCAAGCGTGGAACTGAAACACAGAGATGGAAAGAGCAAAGAAACACCAAAAAACCAGAGACGGAAACAGTCAAAAACAGAAACAGTCACTTCAAATCAGTTCCACAGAGACGGAGGAACAGGCTGTAGATCCAGTTCACCTTGGAGAGACCCATGAGGAAACGCATTAGACTTATTAGATTTAAGCATGTTTATTGATTGAGCATGTTTGGCGCCCTAGGCCCGGGCGGGATGCTGTTGAGCACGGCGCTTGCTCGCGTGCATGATCCCCCCGGGGCCTAGGCACTGGTGACGGCAGAGGCAGTAGGCAACACGCTTCATGCGAGAAGGAGGAGGTGGGGCGGCGGCGGCTTGCAGACTTCAGAAGATCGGGAAGTGGGCGTCTCCGGCTTTTAACTTGCTGTCCTGGTGGTTATTGGTTGACTGGGTGTGGGCGTTGCTGGTATTGATGAGTCGAGGAAGAGCAGCCTGTGGCCTGGCAGCAACAGCCGGGTCTACCACGGTGAACTTTCGCGAAAGCTCCATTTCACCTTGGAGAGACCCATGAGGAAACGCATTAGACTTATTAGATTTAAGCATGTTTATTGATTGAGCATGTTTGGCGCCCTAGGCCCGGGCGGGATGCTGTTGAGCACGGCGCTTGCTCGCGTGCATGATCCCCAAAAGCGGGCCTGCGATTGGGATAGCAGGACGTACTGCGCGGGCCTGAGAGCAAGAGCGAGCTGAGAACATGCGCACGCGCGCATGTTCAGCCAGCCGCTGTAGCAGAGGAATCTTTGAGCGAACTGAGAACATGCGCGCACGCGCATGTTCAGCCAGCCGCAGCAGAGGAATCTTTGAGCGAACTGAGAGCATGCGCGCACGCGCATGCTCAGCCAGCCGCAGCAGAGGAATCTTTGAGCGAACTGAGAACATGCGCGCACGCGCATGTTCAGCCAGCCGCAGCAGAGGAATCTTTGAGCGAACTGAGAGCATGCGCGCACGCGCATGCTCAGCCAGCCGCAGCAGAGGAATCTTTGAGCGAACTGAGAACATGCGCGCACGCGCATGTTCAGCCAGCCGCAGCAGAGGAATCTTTGAGCGAACTGAGAGCATGCGCGCACGCGCATGCTCGGCCAGCCGCAGCAGAGGAATCTTTGAGCGAACTGAGAATATGAGCGCACGCTCATATTCAGCCAGACGCTGAAGCAAGGAATCTTTGAGCGTTTGAGGAAAGTGCGTGCCGCCACCAGAATCTTATTGCTTACTTGCTTTGCTGGGAGCTTACGATGAAGCCGGTAGACGTTGTGCTGCCATGATAGCGGTCGCATCTGGCCGGATGTAGGTGGAGAAGCCGAAGAGGACCAGCGCCCCAGCCGTTGCAGAGGAAGAGTGGGGGAGCCCCAGCGAGGTCGTGCGCGTGGCAGCGCCTATCCTGAAGGAGTGGGCTGTATAGAGCTGGGGAGACAAATTGCAGAGGAGCAGTAGGGATCTTAGCTGAGCTCTGAACCAGGTTGCTGTTATGGGAAGGTTGACTGGAGTGAGAATTAGAGGTCCGTTAAAATCTCCTTTTTGCCGCGGAGGCGAGTGTAACGCATCATGGACCTGTAGGGGCAGAGAGATGTGTCGAAGCGAGCTATTATTGTGTTGCAGGCGCCTCTGATCTTTGAATGTTTGAGATGAAGGTTGAATGGTCAGGGGACATTATGTTGGGTGAGAAGAGCGACCTTTGTTTAATGCTTCCACTACGTCGAGATGATCACGCATGACAGAGATCCTCTTTCTCTGCCACGTGTGATTCCGCAGCGCGCAGGCCACGACCACTGGGAATGTCTCGTGTAGGGCAGAGGAAATGCTCCGGGGAAAGTAGCGGGCCACGGCCGGCGAACCACTGGTCCTGGAAGAATCCCCCAAAAACCCACGGAAGGGGCAGCGTCCGTGTAGAAGCGGAGACCTGTAGGGGCAGAGAGACACACCGGAGAGGGCCATTGATGTTGCAGGCGCCTTTACGCTTAGAATCTTGGGTTGGAGAGTAGATAATTAGGCCAGTAGGATAGGACGGGAAGCCGTGTCTCGGACCGCATTGAAGGTTGAGTGAGCAGTGGTGAAACGCTTATGCAGAGAAGCCACAGAAGGCGAGCAGAAGATGCTGCGAGGAGGGCAGACATGTACTTGGAAGATGAGCCGGAGTTCAGCGCCGCTGCAGGATGGGCAGCATGATGGGGAGCCTGTGATCAGAAGAGTGAAGAACCAGGTATGGATGCCTTTGATTAGGAGTCCGATTGACGGCTCAGCGCAGCTACTTGGCCAGCTGCATCTGATAGAATCAGAAGATTCAGTAGAGAGATGAAGCACGACCGCCGAAGCGACCCTGGGAGCATAGGTGCGAGTCCGGCGCAGCGCGGCATACTCAGCCGGGCTGCATCCATTAGAAGCAGGATAAGCTTCTGAGAGAATGGGTTGCAGTAGCAGTAGCAGCAGCGGCAGCAGCAGTAGCCTCAGATAATAACAGCAAAAGTCCTGTATCAAGCCGCGGCAGCAGCAGCAGCAGCGTCCTTAGAAAATAACAGTAATAATTCTGTATCAAAGCCACAGCAGTAGAATGTTGTTGTAGCTGTTCAGGGTTTCAGTAAAAGAGATGCGAAGTGAAGAGAGATGGCAAAGTAAATGAAGCAGCAGCAGCAGTAGTAGCAGCAGTAGCCGTATGAAGCAGCAGCAGTAGCAGTATGAAGCAGCAGCAGCAGTAGCAGTATGAAGCAGCAGCAGCTGCAGCATCCGTCGATAATAGCAGCAATAATCCTGTATCAAAGCCAGAGCAGTAGAATATTGTTGTAGCCGTTTAGTGTTTCAGTAAAAGAGATGCGAAGTGAAGAGGGATGTCAAAGTACATGAAGCAGCAGCAGCAGCGCAGCAGTAGCAGCAGCAGTAACGGTAGCAGTATGAAGCAGCAGAAGCAGCATTAGCAGTAGCAGCAGTAGCAGTATGAAGCAGCAGCGGTTGCAGCATCCGTAGATAATAACAGCCATAATCCTGTATCAAAGCCAGAGCAGTAGAATATTGTTGTAGCTGTTTAGTGTTTCAGTAAAAGAGATGCGAAGTGAAGAGAGATGTCAAGTACATGAAGCAGCAGCAGCACGGCAGCAGATGCAGTATGAAGCAGCAGCGGCAGCAGTAGCAGCAGTAACGGTAGCAGCATGAAGCAGCAGCAGCAGCAGCAGCGGTTGCAGCATCCGTAGATAATAACAGCAATAATCCTGTATCAAGCCACCGCAGTAGAATATAGTTGAAGCTGTTTAGTGTTTCAGTAAAAGAGATGCGCAGTGAAGAGAGGTGTCAAAGTAAAGAAGCAGCAGCAGCACGGCAGCAGATGCAGTATGAAGCAGCAGCGGCAGCAATAGCAGCAGTAGCGGCAGCAGAAGCAGCAAGCAGCAGCAGCACAATGCAATTCATACGAACAACAGACGTGTCACGCCAGCGTGCGCCGCTTGTCTCCGTGAGCCAGGTTACGTACGTGTCTGAAGAGCCGAGCCGTAGAGATAGGTGCAGCCTGGGAGCCTGCGGAGCGGCAGCGGCAGGAACAGCAGCAGCGGCACATGTAGTAGTAGGAGCAGCAGGAGCAGGCAGCAGGGACAGGCAGCAGCAGGAATAGGCAGCAGCGGGATCAGGCATCAGTAGGAACGGCAGCAGGGACCGCAGCAGCGGCGGTCAGAGAACCATGCCCACGGTTGTTTAAGAGCCTGAGGAAATAAATCAACCCGAATCCGAAACATTCCCATGCGAGAAACAGATGTCCCCTGGAGCCAACTTGCTGCTTTGGTTATGGCAGAGACGCATGAACGATCACTGATCCATGCGTTCATTAGCTCCAGCTCCACTTCAAACCCATTGCATATTCACATTGGGCCCCTTTTCTTTCTGCTGCACTTTCGAAATGCAACAACTGCAGTTTAGTTACCCAGTTTAATACTAGTGACCTAGCTATTTAAATGCATGGCCCCTCCTTCCTCCTGCAGATAGACGAATTTAAATACATCATTTAACAATAGTGACTTGCGAGTAATGAGATTGATGCTGTAAAGATGGCGCCGTGCAAGAGCTCTGTGTGTGCCGTCTGGAGCACGATGGGGTAGTCTTTGCACATTTTTTCCAACGTGGTTTTACTGCAAGTGGCAGAACATGAATCTGAATTAATGCACATTGCTCCTCTTATATCCCTCAGACATTGGAGATTGATGCCATTTAAGATGCATTGTCCCTCAGTTAGCTCAACACGTGTAAAACGGAGCCTGCAGACCAAGCACGGGCGAAGACTGACGCCTGCAGTCAAGTGCGTAGGGCAAAAAACCAGCCGCCTGCAGCCTAGACTCCGGGATTAAACTGTCCGCGGTCGGCACTCTCACTGTACTCACATGCCAGGAGACTTGGGAAAGCAACGGGACAACGCGGCACCGCCAGTCGGAGGCAGGGACATGCACGGCACCGCCAGACCGTCTGCGCGCGGCAGCAGACCACGAGGAACGAGCAGCACAGAACCGCGGAGGGGCCCCGCGGAGCAGCCCGCAGAAAGAGCCCGCAGAGGAGGAGAGCAGTGGGGATATGCGAACCACAGCAGGTGCAGGGACGCGGAGGAGGAGCAGACCACGAGCAGCCAGACTGAGGACAGCCGGCCACGCGCACGAGCAACACGTGAGCAGAAGCGACCCCTCCAGACATAGACGTCGGAACTAGGGGTGCGGAGGGTGCGGCCGCACCCCCTCCGCGTGTGCCGGGAGCGAGAAGTTATCATGATTCGAGATGTTGCGTCTATCCTGCGCTCCTTGCAGCCCCAAACCCGCTCCATGCTGTCGGAGGAGGAGAAGCTTATGACGCTCTGTCTGGATATCTGTCGCGGCCTCTGAGCGCTCTTTCTCAGCCTTATTGCGCAGATTAAAGACCTGGCTACACCAGTGACGTGCGGTGGGGGATCAATCATGAGTTCATATGATTATACATCATATAAATCAACTAGACCTACAGAGAGGCTTATTCACAATTTGTTTGGCTACAGCAGAACATGTTTTAACGTCTGCATAGTTTGATACATACAAAACGCAAAAGTTTGTAAAAAAAGCGCATTTCCAAGTGTGTTAGGGTCCTTACCTTAGTTATTAATGAACAACACAGACCAGTTCAGTTCAGACCAGTCTCATGTTTAAGTCCAGATAATAGTTTGAGCGCAGAGATGTAATCCTCCATTTGGAAATAAGTTCAATGAGTTTTAAAAAGTAAAACAAACGGGTGTCTCCTCCATAAACTCCTGTGTTTCGCTGAAGCCGACTCCCGGATGAATCCAATTTTCTAATATCAACCTTACCCTTCACCTCTTTTTCTTATGATTCATATCATCATTGGAAGCATAACATTACCCTAAGTGAATTTTAAATTATCTTAAAATGTAATATATGTATGTTAGCCAAACCTGTAGCTGCCCTTAGCAGATGAAGAACAAAAAAGGAGCTTTCTGATGGAATTGAATGCAGCCAAATGTTGGGCTCACAAGCGCCCCCTTGAGGCTTTCCTCACTTACAAACTGAGGTTGAGCGCGATTAAGACCCATATTTGCTTCAAAAACACAATTTATGAGCCATCTTGTAAACATGTTGATTGTAAATTAAATATTGTTTAACTAATTAAACTGCTATAAACAGAGAAAACAGTTTGATAGCACCTCACAGGCCTCTCCTTGTGAGCTGCAGGTTTTACGTCTCCCAAGAGAGGCTCGCCTCACAGCGCCGCTCTGTCAAATCTAGGCAAAGGCAAAGTCACATTGAAATAATGCACTGCACAAATCACTTGATATAGTGACCAAGCATTATTGTATCCATTTTATTATTTTTCTTTCTATGATCTAGGTGAGGCTGGCCCTGACCTGCCTCATCTGACCGCACAGTACACTGAAGCCGCCGGAGAGACTGACGCTTGAATGCGCAGAGTGACCTGATAGATGAGATGTTTCTACCCTGCTTTATAATTCATCAGTAGTTCACTGAGAGAAGGTTCACTTTTAGGAAAATATGAAAGTTCTTATATGATTGCAAACTGTTCCTTTTCTGTCAGTGTCAGTGCGATTTACTTAAAATTGTTCCATTGTTCCGGCTTTTAAAAATGTATTTTTTTTACATCCTTTACAGCGTCTGACAGTGCGCACGTGCCATACGGCAAAATTGTGTTTGTTTCTTTGAAAAAACAATGTTCAGTTTGATAAGTGCCTTGCTTGATCTATATTGTTTAATTTTCGTTTTCTTAACAATTAAGATGCAACCAACAAAAACCCGCCCCCCCTCTCAGAAAATAGTTCCGACGTCCATGCCTCCAGAACAACGCATGCATTTGCGAACAGGTGCGTTAGCGACATGCACCTTGCAGGCTTCAGAAGCTTGCAGACTTCAGAAGATCGGGAAGTGGGCGTCTCCGGCTTTTAACTTGCTGTCCTGGTGGTTATTGGTTGACTGGGTGTGGGCGTTGCTGGTATTGATGAGTCGAGGAAGCAGCCTGTGGCCTGGCAGCAACAGCCGGGTCTACCACGGTGAACTTTCGCGAAAGCTCCATGACTGAAGAGGATCCGGGCAGTGGGAGGCGGTGGGAGGCGGGGGGAGGCGGGGGGAGGCGGGGGGAGGCGGGGGGAGGCGGGGGGAGGCGGGGAGGGGGAGGCGGGGGAGGCGGTGGGAGGGGTGGCGGGGGGGAGGCGGTGGAGGTGGGGGGAGGCGGTGGGGGGGCTGGGAGACAGTGGATCTATGAGTCCAGGCCAGGGTGGAGTCCGGTTCACAGGTGTAGGTCTCAGAGACCGGGTTCGGGGTCCCATCATCACACCATGAACAGACAATGGGACAGCGGGCGAATAGCAAAGAACAGACGACAGGTGAAGTTTTTATAGTGTGATTTTTTGAGTGTGTGTGTGTGTGTGTATATGTATATGTATATGTATGTGTGTGTGTGTGTGTAATGTATATGTATATGTATGTGTGTGTGTGTGTGTATATGTATATGTATATGTATGTTGTGTGTGTTGTGTGTGTGTGTGTGTGTGTGTGTGTGTGTGTGTGTGTGTGTGTGTGTGTGACGGGGGCCAGTGACTCCAGGACAGCTAATAAAAATCTCTGTTCAGTGTAGAATACTCATAAAATACAAAATAGGTAAGTTACATTTTGAAACCAAATACATTAGTTGCAATAATTGTCTCCATATTGTATTATATTGTGCCTCTTTGATCCTAAACTCCACAAACAAAAAACCACCATGTTCTTGTTTGATCATTGAATAAGTAAAAGCTGAACACCACCAAAAAATAGCAAAGTAATAATATTAAAATAACGTAAACAAAGAATATCAAGTGAGATCAGAAAAAACATGTATTTTTTTTGCAGTGGTCTCTTTGTCATGGTCCCGCTGGAGAGGGTCTCGTTCCCCAATGTCTGTGAGAGCGTGGGGAAGGGCAGCAGAGGCAGCAGGAGCAGCAGGGGCAGCAGGGGCAGCAGGAGCAGCAGGAGCAGGAGGGGCAGCAGGAGCAGCAGGGGCAGCAGGGGCAGCAGGAGCAGCAGGGGCAGCAGGAGCAGCAGGGGGGCAGCAGGGGCAGCAGGAGCAGGAGGGGCAGCAGGGGCAGCCACCCGGACAAGAGCCTCGGTCAAAATCAATGCATCGGCACTTTGCTGCAGCGGCACTTTGCTACAGCGACCGCAGATTTGGGGATTTTTCTGTTGATTTCACTTCTTCCACTGCCACAAAAACATCTGAACCTTCAGGGACACGCTCCGGGGAAAACACGACACGATCAATACTCCTTTGGTGGTTTTTCTATAATTTAGCACTTTGTTAGAGGCCGATGGTGTGAACAGCTCGGACAAGATGCATTAGCGAGATTTACATGACACAAAGATTCCAGGACTAAATATCGCTTTGCAGCATATGTGATTATTAGTAAGTAAGTCATATTTAATTATATAGCGCATTTTATAGACTAAGGTACAGACACAAAGCACTTTACAATTGTTGAAAGTTAAGATCTGGAAACAGTAAAAAAAAACAGAGTTGGAAACAGCGGTGGATCCGTGAGTCCGGGCTGGGGGGGAGAGTCCGGTTTACAGGTGTAGGTCTCAGAGGCCGGGTCCAGGGTCCCATCATCACACCATGAAACAGACAGTGGGCGAATAGCAATGAACAGACTACAGGTGAAGGTACAGACACAAAGCGCTTTAAAATTGTAAAAGGTTCAGATATGTGATGACAGGAGCAAGACCGGACCACCATCCATTCACCCGCTACATACAGACCTATTGTACATATTTTTAGTGGTAGGGGAAACAGGAGCACCCGGAGGAAACCTACGCAGACACGGGGAGAACATGCAAACTCCACTCAGAAAGTACCTGTTCTGACCGGGATTCGAACCCAGATGAGATGCTGTGTACTAACTGCTGCCCACTGTGCTGTGAGCATTGGCCTCTGAATCAGGTCTGTCTTTGAGTCACAGCCACACATTAACATAGGAAAGTTTAATTGTATGGCACAAATCATACACAAGAAAACTCAAAGTGCTGAAAAACAAGACAGCATTACAGACTTAAATATTGAAGAAGAAGAAGGAGAAAGAGAAGGAGAAAAAGAAAAAGGAGAAAGAGAAGAAGAAGGAGAAGGAGAAAGAGAAGAAGGAGGAGGATGAGGACGAGGAGAAGAAGGAGAATGAGAGGAAGAAGGAGGAGGAGGATGAGGAGAAGAAGGAGGAGAAGAAGGAGGAGGAGAAGGAGAAGAAGGAGGAGGATGAGGAGAAGAAGAAGAAGAATGAGGACGAGGAGAAGAAGGAGAATGAGAGGAAGAAGGAGGAAAAGAAGGAGGAGAAGAAGGGGAGGAGGAGAAGAAGGAGAAGGAGGAGGAGAAGGAGAAGGAGAAGGAGGAGGAGAAGGAGGAGAAGGAGAAAGAGAAGAAGGAGGAGGAGGACGAGGAGGAGGAGGAGAAAGAGAAGAAGGAGGAGGAGAGGAGAAGAAGAAGAAAGAGAAGGAGAAGAAGAAGGAGAAGGAGAAGAAGGAGAAGGAGAAAGAGAAGAAGGAGAAGGAGAAGGAGAAAAAGAAGGAGAAGGAGAAGAAGAAGGAGGAGGAGGAGAAGAAGGAGGAGGAGAAGGAGAAGAAGAAGGAGACGGAGAAGGAGAAGAAGAAGGAGAAGGAGAAAGAGAAGAAGAAGGAGGAGAAGAAGGAGGAGAAGGAGAAAGAGAAGAAGGAGGAGGAGGACGAGGAGGAGGAGAAGAAGGAGAAAGAGAAGGAGAAGAAGAAGGAGACGGAGAAGGAGAAGAAGAAGGGAGAAGGAGAAAGAGAAGAAGAAGGAGGAGAAGAAGGAGGAGAAGGAGGAGGAGGAGAAGAAGGAGGAGGAGAAGGAGAAGGAGAAAGAGAAGAAGGAGGAGGAGGACGAGGACAAGGAGGAGGAGAAGAAGGAGAAAGAGAAGGAGAAGAAGAAGGAGAAAGAGAAGAAGGAGGAGGATGAGGAGAAGAAGAAGAAGAAGGAGAAAGAGGAGAAGGAGGAGGAGGACGAGGAGAAGAAGAAGGAGAATGAGAGGAAGAAGGAGTAGAAGAAGGAGGAGAAGAAGGAGGAGAAGGAGGAGGTGGAGAAGGAGAAGGAGGAGGAGGAGAAGAAGGAGAAGGAGGAGGAGGAGAAGAAGGAGAACGAGGAGGAGAAGAAGGAGAAGGAGAAGGAGAAGAAGGAGGAGGTGGAGAAGAAGGAGGAGGAGAAGGAGGAGAAGGAGGAGAAGGAGGAGAAGAAGGAGGAGAAGGAGAAGGACCGAGCCTTCTCTGTCCGTGCTCCTCTGCTTTGGAACCACAGACTGTAGGACTTAAACTGTGCACTTTGTCTTTTAAAAGTGCTATACAAATAAATATGTATTATTATTATTGTTATTATTCTCATTTTTATTCTGATCATTACTATTATTAGTATTATTAACATTATTATTATTATAATTATTGTTATTATTATGTATTGAGCATTATGGAACAGAATTTAGTTTTTTTACATTTTGTTTATTGGGTTTTCACAATTTTATACAGTTTTGTCGATCCAACAGAAAGTACAGAACATTTACATGCACAGTAGTAAATTCTCTTCAATATGTTCAATTATGCAGAGAAAATGCCAAAAAACAAAAATACAAAAGGCAGATTCACACAGACTATAATGAAAACACACACAGTTAAAGTCAGATCGTAATAGATTTTTATCAAGATTTTTTCCCCAACTCTGTCCCGGGCTGTGCTGCGTCTTTACTTTCGCTTTCTCTTTCTGAACGGCGCATATTTCCCGGAGCAGCTCACGTCTGCAGCGGCTCCTCAGCATCTTTAGATTCGTGGAACAATTAGGAGGTGACAGTTCGCTCCTCACGCTTCTATTTCAGACCTGACGCCTGATGGTTCCGGAGGTTGTCTGCGGGTGACGAGCGCCTCTATTTTTGGATGTGCACCTAACTTCTCTGAACGAGCATATTTTTCTGCTTCCAGTTTAAGCCGGAGATTAAAATGTAAGAAAAATATGTCAAAAAATATACACAAAAACGTTTACTTTGTGTCTGGAAATACAGCATTGACAACAAAAGCATTGACAGTAGGCTCCCTGTATTAAAGGTATATGAAGGAGGATTGTCTACTTCCGGGTGGATCATCAACACTATTGGTTCTCCCAGTTGTCAATCATTCTGGTGACACCTTTGATGATGTACTTTATATTATCAATATTATTGTTTCAATTAACTAATGTGTAAAATTCTCATAGAAACTGTGTGTGACGTGTTAAAATGATCTGATCTGAGGAAAAATGTGCTGCTCTCACACTGCCCTCTGCTGGCCACACACACTCATCACACTTTTAGAGAGTTGTCCTGCTATATATGTAGAGCAGGGGGCTCAAAACTTTTTCACCCAGAGAGAAACTTTACCGGGACGATAAAGGCATCTCTCTCTGGGTTAAAACTACAGACTCACATCTCCCTCTGAGCCAAAACTACAGACTCACATCTCCCTCTGAGCCAAAACTACAGACTCACATCTCCCTCTGGGCCAAAACTACAGACTCACATCTCCCTCTGGGCCAAAACTACATGACTCACATCTCCCTCTGGGCCAAAACTACAGACTCACATCTCCCTCTGGGTTAAAACTACAGACTCACATCTCCCTCTGGGCCAAAACTACAGACTCACATCTCCCTCTGGGTTAAAACTACAGACTCACATCTCCCTCTGGGTTAAAACTACAGACTCACATCTCCCTCTGGGTTAAAACTACAGACTCACATCTCCCTCTGAGCCAAAACTACAGACTCACATCTCCCTCTGAGCCAAAACTACAGACTCACATCTCCCTCTGGGCCAAAACTACAGACTCACATCTCCCTCTGGGCCAAAACTACATGACTCACATCTCCCTCTGGGCCAAAACTACAGACTCACATCTCCCTCTGGGTTAAAACTACAGACTCACATCTCCCTCTGGGCCAAAACTACAGACTCACATCTCCCTCTGGGTTAAAACTACAGACTCACATCTCCCTCTGGGCCAAAACTACAGACTCACATCTCCCTCTGGGTTAAAACTACAGACTCACATCTCCCTCTGGGCCAAAACTACAGACTCACATCTCCCTCTGGGCCAAAACTACAGACTCACATCTCCCTCTGGGTTAAAACTACAGACTCACATCTCCCTCTGGGCCAAAACTACAGACTCACATCTCCCTCTGGGTTAAAACTACAGACTCACATCTCCCTCTGGGTTAAAACTACAGACTCACATCTCCCTCTGGGTTAAAACTACAGACTCACATCTCCCTCTGGGCCAAAACTACAGACACAGATAGACACAGGTAAAGCAAAGCCCTATTTTTAGCGAGACCATCTATTCTGTGAAGTTCACTGCTTAGACTAGTCTCTGTGTGCAAGTTTCTCCATTCATTATTATTATTATTATTGTTATTGTTATTGTTATTATTATTATTAATAATAATAATAACAATATTATTGTTATTATTATTATTGTTATTGTTATTATTATTATTATTATAATAATAACAACACTATTATTATTGTTATTATTATTGTTATTATTATTATTATTATTATTATTATTATCATTATTATTATCATTATTACTACCCTGGTCTTTCTTTCCTGTAGACAAAGTTTCAGTAAAATTGCCTCTTTGTGACATGTGCAGCTTTCAACCACCAGAGGGCGGCGCTGTCTTTTCCAAAACCCCCAAAAATGTCATTAACGTGAACAAAACGTGCCTCTGTGTAGTTCCCCGCTTTCACGTGCTACTTTGCCTGTGAATAAAAGCGATGCAAGTTTATTTGTATTGCACAGGTCACACACAAAGCTTCTCAAAATCTTAAACAAAACAAGAAAGAGGGAACAATACAAAGCTTTGACATCAGAAATAATCACAATGCATTAAAGGAGTGATGTTTGCACAGTGCTGTAGCTCGGGGCTCTTCCTGGTCCTGGTTCTGCTTTTGTCTGCGGGCTGTTGAGAGCAGAGAGACACCAGAGAGAGCAGAGAGAGACCAGAGAGACCAGAGAGAGAGCAGAGAGAGACCAGAGAGACCAGAGAGAGACCAGAGAGACCAGAGAGAGACCAGAGAGAGCAGAGAGAGACCAGAGAGAGAGACCAGAGAGAGACCAGAGAGAGACCAGAGAGAGACCAGAGAGACCAGAGAGAGACCAGAGACCAGAGAGACCAGAGAGAGACCAGAGAGAGCAGAGAGAGACCAGAGAGAGACCAGAGAGAGACCAGAGAGAGCAGAGAGAGACCAGAGAGAGACCAGAGAGAGAGCAGAGAGAGACCAGAGAGAGACCAGAGAGAGACCAGAGAGAGACCAGAGAGAGAGACAGAGAGAGAGAGACCAGAGAGAGACCAGAGAGAGAGAGAGAGACCAGAGAGAGAGACCAGAGAGAGAGACCAGAGAGACCAGAGAGAGACCAGAGACCAGAGAGACCAGAGAGAGACCAGAGAGAGACCAGAGAGACCAGAGAGAGACCAGAGACCAGAGAGACCAGAGAGACCAGAGAGAGACCAGAGAGAGACCAGAGAGAGCAGAGAGACCAGAGAGAGACCAGAGGGAGCAGGAGAGACCAGAGAGAGACCCAGAGAGAGACCAGAGCGACCAGAGAGAGACCAGAGAGAGCAGAGAGAGACCAGAGAGAGACCAGAGAGAGACCAGAGAGAGCAGAGAGACACCAGAGAGAGACCAGAGAGAGCAGAGAGAGACCAGAGACCAGAGAGAGCAGAGAGAGACCAGAGAGAGCAGAGAGACACCAGAGAGAGACCAGAGAGAGAGACCAGAGAGAGACCAGAGAGAGAGACCAGAGAGAGACCAGAGAGAGAGCAGAGAGAGACCAGAGAGACCAGAGAGAGACCAGAGAGAGACCAGAGAGAGACCAAAGAGAGACCAGAGAGAGACCAGAGAGACCAGAGAGAGACCAGAGACCAGAGAGACCAGAGAGAGACCAGAGAGAGACCAGAGAGAGACCAGAGAGAGACCAGAGAGAGACCAGAGAGACCAGAGACGAGACAGAGAGCAGAGAGAGACCAGAGAGAGCCAGAGAGAGACCAGAGAGAGACCAGAGAGAGACCAGAGAACCAGAGAGAGCCAGAGAGAGAGAGAGACCAGAGAGAGAGAGAGCAGAGAGACCAGAGAGAGACAGAGAGAGACCAGAGAGAGACAGAGAGAGAGAGAGAGCCAGAGAGAGAGACCAGAGAGAGACCAGAGAGAGACCAGAGAGAGACCAGAGAGAGAGACCAGAGAGAGACCAGAGAGAGCCAGAGAGAGAAGAGAGAGAGCAGAGAGAGACCAGAGAGAGACCAGAGAGAGAGACCAGAGAGACCAGAGAGAGACCAGAGAGAGACCAGAGAGAGAGAGACCAGAGAGACCAGAGAGAGCAGAGAGAGACCAGAGAGAGCAGAGAGACACAGAGAGAGACCAGAGAGACCAGAGAGAGACCAGAGACCAGAGAGACCAGAGAGACCAGAGAGAGACCAGAGAGAGACCAGAGAGAGACAGAGAGAGACCAGAGAGAGCAGAGAGAGACCAGAGAGAGACCAGAGAGAGACCAGAGAGAGCAGAGAGACACCAGAGAGAGACCAGAGAGAGCAGAGAGAGACCAGAGAGACCAGAGAGAGCAGAGAGAGACCAGAGAGAGAGAGAGAACCAGAGAGAGACCAGAGAGAGAGACCAGAGAGAGACCAGAGAGAGACCAGAGAGAGACCAGAGAGAGCAGAGACCAGAGAGACCAGAGAGAGCAGAGAGAGACCAGAGAGAGCAGAGAGACACCAGAGAGAGACCAGAGAGACCAGAGAGAGACCAGAGACCAGAGAGACCAGAGAGAGCAGAGAGAGACCAGAGACCAGAGAGACCAGAGAGACCAGAGAGAGACCAGAGAGAGAGCAGAGAGACCAGAGAGAGACCAGAGAGAGACCAGAGAGAGACCAGAGAGAGAC